GCAATTTCCCGTCAGGTCTGCTTAACAGACATAATGTTGCATACGGGGAGGACTATCCTTCAGAGGTCCTTGGTAAAATGAGAAATGCATGGAACATTGCAGCTGAAGCGTCCAAGAAGGCACGGACTCGGTATGCTCATTTTTATGACAAGAAAGTGCGCCCTCTTGAGCTGAAGGAAGGAAGCCTCGTATTGAGAGTGAATGAGGCTGCGCCCGCCAATCAGAGCAGGAAACTAGCTCCAAGGTGGCGAGGACCATATAGAGTAATTAAAAGGGCGGGGCCGGTTAATCTTGTTATAAAAGGAGTGTTCGAGGACCAGGTGGAAAGGACAATTCACGTGAATAAATTGAAACATTATCATGCTAGAGAGGAATTAGAACTGCCTTCAGCGGGTCTAGTTCCTGACTCAGCAGTGCTGACTCATGGCTTCACCGACGAGTCAGAAGATGAGGATGACCCTCTGTCATCGCTCATCAGTAGTCAGGTGCAGTCTCGCCACCCTATGGTGACGAGATCTCGCGCTATACAGTAAAGTAACTTCCTTGGTTAGTATAATTTAGTGTTCATTAGATTTTCCTGTAAAGGCAATGAGATGTACTATGTCTATACTTAACTCAGGTAGCAGCTTTTACCGTGCTCTGGGGTTCCACCTCCACCAAACCCAGAGTATATCTATGCTTCCGCTGTGTTGTGTCTGTCTGTTCCCAGGTCTGATTGGTACACCGACCCAGTTGTTCCAGCCACACGTGAACCCTTGTCTGTAAAGACCGAGGGGGGAGGCACGTTACACAAGCCCTCCCCCCACTAGACCCAGTAACCCATACATCAGTTACTTTGGGGATGAGTGACTGTCCAAGAGTCACCCGGCCGACGCCTCACGTCACTAACGAGGTTGTCAGGGCCAGCGAGCTGTCCACATTATAGCAGTCACCGGAGGTGCCATACAACGCCGGGGTAGCTGTCTCGAGATCACCAATACCCACCTGCTGCGTCATCAAGACTGCAGCCATTCCAGCAGTGTTGGAGGAGAGGTCAAGAAATGGAAAGCGCGTAGCAGTACTCAAGAGTTTCGCCGGAAGATTAATGATTACGTCATCTGAAGTAACAAGAAAGCGGAAGTAAGGCGGTCACAGGTGGAAGGCACGGTTTCCCTACAGAGTACCGGGACTCGCCAATAGAAGGTCGCAAAATTGTCTCCTTTGGCCTAAAGTCGGCGGTACGAGGGTATACACAGTTGGTGTTTACGGCCTAGTAACCTGGGGACATCAAGAAACGCCTGAGATGACGTGAGCAATGATGGAAGACGAGATTCACCTGTTCTGCAAACAAGCAACCCGCCTCTACGACCTTCTGACACCACTCCTGCTAAGAGACACCGTTGGTACATCCAGTCCTGTTCTGCTGTGGTCATCTGCGCCGTCAAGTTTAACATCAAGACTGCCGTGTGAACTGTGATTGATATGAAGGCGTGTGGACTGTCGAGAGCAAGATTAATGGCCGAAGTAACAGTATTCTACAGCTGTCACTTGGCACTCAGCTCTACTACACTCTGTCGTCATTCAGGAGTACCGGATGGGAGTGCAAGAGGACCAGGTATTGATGTCTACACATGAAGAAGCAAGATCGACACCGTCATCGTCAGCGACTACATTCAGCATCCAGCAGCATCGATTTTTTTTTCTCGTTTACTCAATATGAACAATTGATACAAACAACAAAGTTGGCTCTGAACATCTGTGTAAAGAACATCTGGACACTTTTGTTTAAATGTTGAAAAACAGAGTTAGAATCACAATCCTTTTTTAAATGTTGAAAAACAGCTTTAAAATAATAATTCTGGTATAATAGATGAATTTTACTCTATAAATTGGTCAGTAATCAAAATCGAAGCCCCTGTGTAATTGTCTCAGCCCAGAACAAACGGTTATGGAAAATTATGTTGTGCTTTTTTTTTTCAGAATGTTTGAACACAGGAGAGGCGGACCAATATAAACATTGACACCTCTAGTGAGTGAGAACACTTGGCTGTACAGTCAGCTGAAACCTGTGATATAGTATAGGAATTTTTTTTTTATTTTTAGATACATGTAATAAACATTAGGTGTGTTCCTTAACATGTCAAGGTTGACATTGATGGGGAGTGGTTAGTACACGGATGTGAACTTGATAGTTCCGTAGTACGCTCCCGGATGACTGAAAGTTCAGTCTGATGATATAACTTTAATGTTTGTTTGAGCACGGTGTGGCCGGCTCTAGAGGACACATGGACTTGGCTAGTGAAGAGCCAAGAGAGTTTAATAGCTAGTCTTTGATGATAGAGTAGGGCCATGTTATTTAGCTATGTCAGTAAGGATAGGATGTATGTTTCCTGATATTAGAGGATTGCTGTCAGTTGACAGCTGAGAAATTTATGAAATATGAACATAGTTATTATGATGTTGGACTATTAATTGTCAAATTTTATTAGTTAGGTTAGCTTTTGTTTGTGGCATGAGTTGAATTGTGGGTTTGGATACTAAACCTCGTGAATTTTAACAAATTAACAAGGTTTACTAAGTGCTTGTGCGGGGGGGTTGTAACAAACTAGGCTGTTGTAAGAATTATTCCAGAAGGTTCCAGAAGTTCGAGTAGGGACCTGACCTCTCAACAACGCCCAGTCCCCTGGGAATTAGCAGGTCTGAGTCACAAATGGCGGGCATCGTTGTTCATAGCTGCGTATAATGAACCATCCTATAGTATTCAGTAATTTAGAGAAAATTAGCCTTTATTCATTTTGCATTAAAATTGTATTGTATAATAGTACTGAATACAATATCAAGAGTATTCTAATTATTGAGTTTAAGTCACCATCAGTGACGTCACGAATCAGATCTAACTTTTAAGGCGGAGTGACCGGCGGTCATAGGTCAGCAGGGTTGACATGTCTGGTATTTCTCAAAGTTCAATTAACCATTTTGGGGATCGGGAATAGCTCTGCCGTTAGATGTTTGTAATTTAATTCAGTAAAATAAATCAACCAGTCTGGATCAATTCAGTACAAACAGAGGTTAATTGTTATAACTTAAACCTTGCTAGTAACTGGGTAGAACTTTGACTGACTAGGCGGAAGGATACAATGCTCTGTCTGGGGTAGACCAGACAAGAGAGAGATCAGTGTGATCTGCCGAGCAGCTGGGAGAGGTCAAACATCTTACCTCTCCCCAAGACCAGCCCAACACCTAGAGCTGGAAAACATAGAGGTATAGTTGCTATGGTTATGTATAGAAATAGTCTCATTTGCCATTCAGGTCAAGTAGGGAGTGTTAAAGTGACAGGGAGTGAACATATTTAGATTTTGTTTTAGTTTTCTTTTAATAAATTAAATTTGTTATTAATTTGCATTTTATTGTCTCCATTTGGTTATGTGTATACTTGTCCTGGTCACGTGGTCCACACGAGGCAGAGTTGTATTGGGCGCCGATTCTAACATCGAATCGGAATTATCATTACCGCGTAATTTATTCCACACTCAAGGTCATCGTATATAGTGGGGATCAAGCCCCAAGGTTGATTAATTAGCGTGATCGATCCAGACCTCGATCATTGCTCTGTAGAGCTGGTCTGGTGGTGGCAGCATAGAGGCGACTCTAGGGTTTTGCTCAGAGCTTAGGTCACGTCATACTGGGTGTAGAATCCTAAGTCGGTCAATCGTCTTAGGACCACGTGGCGTGGAGTTGGCTTTGGTAAAAGTTTTGGAGTCCCTTGGTAGAGAATAAAAAGTAAGAATACGGGTAGAGGGAGTAGAAGGAAGAGAAAGAAGTGAAGGAGAGGAACCCAAACCCGTGTTACAAGAATACAGATTGAAAAGTTTGATCTAGAAGAAATGTTGAGGTGTTTAAATGCCGAGATTGAACACTCGCACCAAATTGGGCCTTATAAAGACAACAAACTCGGACTTGTTCTGGTGCAATTTTCTAAGGAAGAGGCAGTTAACTACATATTAAAGGACAGGCATTTACTAAGGGGCAGTGAAGGCTATTATAATGTGTTTATAGATAGATACATGACCAAAGACGAACAACAAGAAATGAAGGCGAGAAAACTGACCCCACAGTCCTCACCTTTCAAAAATTCACACCCACCTCAAATCAGCCCTCCCATCCTTCCCCCACCCCCAACAACTACCCTGCACCCTCCACCCCCTCTGTAACCAATCCCCTCTGCTCGATCCCACATTCCAAACCCCTCTCTTCCCCTTCATCCCCAAACCCCCAACAACCCTTATCTCCAGTATGAGCCACCCTCTCCTTGCGACCCCCTAGCCTCTCTCTCCACTGCCTTCAAACACCCCATTCTCTTGTCCCACTCCCATCCTGAGTCCCCACCTTCCACTTATTGCCCCATAGGTAGGCAGGTATGGGCAGCTGCCCATACCCAGAGATGTTAAACTGAATTTTTTCAGTGTCAGTAGTTAACAGATGGAATGCATTAAGCAGTGATGTAGTGGAGGCAGACTTCATACATAGTTTCAAATGTAGATATGATATAGCGCAGTAGGCTCAAGAATCTGTACACCAGTTGATTGACAGTTGAGAGGCAGGGACCAAAGAGCCAAAGCTCAACCCCCGCAAGCACAACTAGCCGAGTACATACATTCCTATATATATTATATATATGGGTTCACTATAATTAACTAATAACTACTGGTCCAACAGGACTAACTCTGACCAGCCTATATCTGTCCCATACCCGAGACCATTCAACCTGACAAGTTGGGTAGCATCTTCCTCTAACCTAATAAAAGACAGGCAGACAGTCATTCTCTCTCTCACATATATACAGCATTATATTGTGTTGATTAAATGTAATTGCTGTACATGTTTCCTTCACTTAAACCAAAATGTAAATATAAATTTAAAGTAACAAAAGAAAACTTATGGTTAATTTACATATTCACAAACTTATACATTTCCTTTTCAATGTGCCATAAAAATTAATCAAATGAAAATAGCAAACTTACCTCAATAGATAATGTGCTGAGGTCAGCCTCAAACCCTGACAAGTTTCCTGGGTCCTCCTCGTCATATTCTTCCCCTTCAATTGCCACATCAATGTCGTCCTCAGTCCTTTCCATTTCACATTCAGAAGATCCTTCACTCAAAGAATTTCCTGCCTGAATATTGGAGAAATGATCTGAGAATAACAACATCACCTACAATGCATGTTCAAGCATGAATAAATGCACGACAATGAATAATACATAACAGACACACAGATTTTATTTGTAAGTTATGTAAAATGACACTGAAAGCTTGCTACTGTATAGTACTTAAACATGGTTATTTAAAGCTTGGGCCAATTTGTATATTAATCTTATATATAAATGAGATGGGAAATGAAGGAGGGGGGCTTCCATATGCTGACTGTTGCCAGTTACTTGAATAGAGGCAATGGAATGGCCTGAAGACAAAGGAAAGCTGTTTAGCTGCTGCACACATCAGCTACATCTTCCTAGGTTTTACTAAATAATATCATACATACATACAATATTCTCAAATATTTAACAAATTCACATCTTTAAGAAGTTATGTCATATCTGCCTATGTCTGAATGTGAAAATGAAGGGTCAAACATGCCCACCGTAATTTGTCCGTGCACACAAACACATTGGATTGTCTCCAATAAATCGGTCCTTTAAGGGAGAATTTTTGTAACAACAGTCAACTTGGCGAGATATTTTCAAGTGATTCTCCTGCAATAAGACAGCATGAAAAATGGCTCTCAAGAGCTAACAGTATGTAATATGGAATAAAAATTAACACTTTCGCGCTCTCGGCGTTCAAAAAAAAATCATACCCTAGATGCTTTCGGCGCTTCGCGCGCCTACGCGGTAAGACCGAAAAAGTGTACACTCTTTTGACTGTCCTGACAATATTTGAAGGCGCACGTATTTAAATTTGGTATCACTGTGTTCGCAATAAAATTGTCTATAAGAACATATCTATAAAATGCCGCCAAAGCATAAGGATTATCAACACCAAATAAAAAACTATTCAGATCACTAGCCGAGAGCGCCAAACAGCAACAAAATGTTTCCACTCTCTTAATGGTTGCGAAGCCTACAGTTGTCCTACATCGCTAATTGTGGTATCATTGGAATCGCAATAAAATTCTCTACACGGACATATGCATATAAATATAGATTCAATGTCGTAGCCCACCCAAAACAGTGTGGGAAGTGGCCGAAGTGTTACCCGCGGCGGCATATCGGCGAAACTCGCTTTGAAAAGTGTATATTCAATTCACTGTCCTGACATTATTTGTCGATGTATGTATTTCATTTTTGTACCAATGTGCTCGCAATAGAATGTTCTATAAGAACATAAGTATTAAAGGTCACATAAGGATGCGTTCGACCGGCAACATATATAAAAACTACGTCGATTATACTCGTCGTGTCAATAATACAATTGTTTTACCACGATGATTCACTGCCACGCCGTTCTCTTTAATAAGCTGTTCGGCTATTAGAGAAAACGTAAATTTCATGGCAAACATTTGTAAACTATTCCCAAGTTGATCGGATAATAAATGGATTTTATACAAATATTTTTGCTCGTGACTCCCGAGAGGGGCACGCGTGCGGTGTGATTAATAATATTGGTGACAACGACGGTCTGCTGGAAAGCGCCAAAGTGTTAAGCAACAATATGTAGGAAAAGAGGGCCATAAGATAACTGAGGGATAGCAAAGTACTTGTAGGTGGTCTTGAAACGATCCGCAATATACTCGAATACAGGGTTCCCACTCACTGTTCTAGTTAAATTTCTCTTCTGCAGAAAAGGATCTGTCAAAAAATTTGGTAACATAACAGTCAAATTTCAAGACTTAATTAGTCAATAAATATACAGTACATACAATACAAAAATATTTATTAAGCACTAAAGCAAACATGAAAAAAAAGAGTCAGTATCGAGGGTTAGTTATGGATTTCCTGGAAAACAACTTCTCTCCAATACTGAAAATGAAATCAGATGTATAAAATTGAAATCACTATCAGTGTACACTTGAAGTAGTAAATATTTTGTTAAGTATTATAGTATGTACCAATACATTTATCTACTTATTGTGTACATCTACACTGTAAATATAAAACTCTGGAAGCACCAACTAAAAACTCGGCAAAAGACCTTCAAATGGTGCCATGCGTCTTATGAAGGAACATTGACAATGCTGTGAGTAGGGTTAATAAACGAAGATTAACAGACGAGGAGAATTTGTCACGAGTAGTTAATAAGCTGTCTCATATACAATATAAAGCAAGTTGAATTGACATTTGTGCTTATAACTACTTGTGTTTCAATCTGGTTGATACCTGGTTGATGGGGTTCTGGGAGTTCTTCTACTCCCCAAGCCCGGCCCGAGGCCAGGCTTGACTTGTGAGAGTTTGGTCCACTAGACTGTTGCTTGGAGCGGCCCGCAGGCCCACATACCCACCACAGCCCGGTTGGTCCGGCACTCCTTGGAGGAATAAATCTAGTTTCCTCTTGAAAATGTCCACGGTTGTTCCGGAAATATTTCTTATGCTTGCTGGGAGGACATTGAACGACCGCGGACCTCTGATGTTTATACAGTGTTCTCTGATTGTGCCTATGGCACCTCTGCTCTTCACTGGTTCTATTCTACATTTTCTTCCATATCGTTCACTCCAGTACGTTGTTATTTTTCTGTGTAGATTTGGTACTTGGCCCTCCAGTATCTTCCAGGTGTATATTGTGATCATGACTGATCAAGGAGCTAGACCCAAGTCTCTATGCCAGGCACATTTCACAGTATAATCAATATTATGAATATTCATAAATAATGATGCAATGCTACTTTCTGTGCAGCATCTTAGCAGCTTCCAAATATTAGGTTCTTGAGACTTTCTTGACCTACCAGAAACATTATCTAGCCCCGTCAAAAGAGGACGAACACATGGGAATCAAAGATCAACCCAAATTCAAGGTAAACTGCTTAGACAGATGAAATAGGGAAGCAAAACCCTTTACAGCTCTATAATAAAAATAAAATGAAAAGAACAAACAATCCACCTGGTAGATGGGGGAGCAGAGTACTACGTATGTCCCAACTCTCCCAGTCACCACCAGGTGGCAGCTCAGGACCCCAGGTACTTTCTTCTGTAACTCCCAAGCACCTCAATATGGTTCTGCAGAGATGGCTGAGTCCCTGTGGCATCAGTGCCAAAAGGCTTAAATACAAGTCATAACAAGAATAAAATAGGTAGAGAGGCAGAACAAAAGCTGTATGAAGGAGTGGTGAGGCCTGTCCTCACGAATGAGCAAGAGAGGTTGGCATGACAAGATAAATAATCAAGAATAACATCTTTAGAATGGACAATCAAGAGATGCATTGGTGATATTGGGATAGTGTAAGGAATGAAAATTAAAAAAGATGTGAAATGCAAAAAGTTAGCAAATTATAAAATTGAGAAGTTTACAAAATAGATTGGTCATGTCGGACAAGTGGCTGAAGGCCAAGATGATGGACAAACACAGCAAAAACTAATAACTTCACATTTTATTTTATTAAATGATACACAAAGCAGTTTCTTACCTTCAATTGCAATTTTTTTACTCCATGTTTTTTCAGCTCTTGTAATGGGCTGGTATTGACGTATATTTATTATATAGTCCGACATCTTAAAACCGACCGTGTAGAACCTAAACAAATCCAGCCACAGTTTACCCACACAATCGTTGTTTTTACATTTCCATTTATCACCTAATTCAGATGAGCCTGGTAAAGAAAAAGTTAAATTAAATGTCAAATGATTATCCTAATTCATATTTACTACCTGCTTTTGACTACCTCAATTGACAGCATCATTTTCCATTGCTAATTTAGCTCGGCATTAATTCCACAATAGCTCAAAGTATTCAAACAAATTGCATAATAACAAATGCACAAGTGACAAATAACATTTGATTATGAAAGTGTTTAAAGAATTCAATATTTATAATGAGATGAAATAAAAGTCCCTTGAGTAACCCAAAAATAGTGCCAACATAATTCTGTTCATCTGCCACCTCATGATACTGTATTTAAAAGGAAACATGACTAAAGTATACAAATCCATGGAAGAAAAAATAATGCAAATATCAAAATATGAGAGATCTCAGCAAAGGTTTAATTAAAATGAACAAAAATTTATTTCAAAATTAAATATTCAAGCACTAGTAAGACAGTATGGAGAGTGGAACAGTACTTTACTTTCTTACAGTACTTGGAAAACTGTAAGATAACAAATGAAAATAGTCGTGTGTAAAAAGAATCTGCTCACAGAGGCCAGGACTTGGGTTTGATCTTTGGCCAGTGTAAAGAGAATTAAAGTACTGTTCCTTTACTCTGTTCATTACACCCTGCAGTACTTGGGAATGAGAATTATAATTGATACGTAGGTTTTGTGCTAGGGGAAACCACAGTTCTGAATAACTTGACCAATTACAGTACAGTACTTGGCAAAAAGTTTTAATCCAAAGAAAATTAAAAAACTTTTGTTTTCAAGTTGTTAGGTTCAGTTAGCTTAATTTATATGCCATCCAAATCACTTCCCCCAACCTCGCTATCAATACATGTGCATTTATAAAAGGCAGTTTATATAACAAGGCAGTGCTTCATTTCTCATTATTTGTTCTTCTTTCCCAACTTTCATAATCCATGCTTTGTACTCACTTTTTGAAAATAATTGAATTTTTGTCTATTATATATATATATATATATATATATATATATATATATATATATATATATATATATATATATATATATATATATATATATATATATATATATATATATATATATATATATATATATATATATATATATATATATATATATATGTCGTACCTAATAGCCAGAACGCACTTCTCAGCCTACTATTCAAGGCCCGATTTGCCTAATAAGCCAAGTTTTCATGAATTAATGTTTTTTCGTCTACCTAACCTACCTAACCTAACCTAACCTAGCTTTTTTTGGCTACCTAACCTAACCTTACCTATAAATATAGGTAAGGTTAGGTTAGGTAGGGTTGGTTAGGTTCGGTCATATATCTACGTTAATTTTAACTCCAATAAAAAAAAATTGACCTCATACATAGAGAAAAGGGTTGCTTTATCATTTCATAAGAAAAAAATTATAGTAAATATATTAATTCAGGAAAACTTGGCTTATTAGGCAAATCGGGCCTTGAATAGTAGGCTGAGAAGTGAGTTCTGGCTACTATGTACGACATATATATATATATATATATATATATATATATATATATATATATATATATATATATATATATATATATATATATATATATATATATATATATATATATATATATATATATATATATATATATATATATATATATATATATATATATATATATATATATATATATATATATATATATATATATATATATATATATATATATATATATATATATATATATATATATATATATATATATATATATATATATATATATATATATATATATATATATATATATATATATATATATATATATATATATATATATATATATATATATATATATATATATATATATATATATATATATATATATATATATATATATATATATATATATATATATATATATATTAAATACTGTAAACAGCAATTATATTCTTGAAATTTGTGCTTTAAATAAAAGCATATACTGTATAGTATAATACTTACTCAAGTAAACATCTCCATTGGGGTTTGGATGTAATTCGTGAAGAACTGGGAGAACAGGAGGCTCATGTTGTTGCAAGAAATGCACCACCATCAGTGGGAACACATGAGGAGGAAGAGTTCCTCGTGTCTGGTCGTCTATCTGGCAAAGCTGAAGCAAACATCACACAAAATCAGGTAAATAAGCAGACTTACTCTCTTGGCAAAGAAAACAATGGATCAAATTAATTTAAAGCCATCTTTTTCCAAGTGACAGTTCTTTGCTTCAGCCATATTTGTTATGTAACTCCACTTGGAACAGTAGAGGCAGGCATTGGTAACTTTCTTAGATGGGCCTTGGGAAAGCCTGCTTCTTTGCAAAGCTTGCTTCTTTAACTGGTGGTTAACAGCAGTAACTGGCATTCAACAGCAGTAACTGGCATTCAACAGCAGTTACAGCAGTAACTGGCATTCCTTTTCTTAGAAAACATCACCTGCAGGGGGTGTCGAGAGAACTGATCCCTTCTACTACGTAATACCTAGCTGGTTCTCAGCGGTAGCAGGAGTCACTACTGTTTCCCTCCAATAAATATTTTAAGAAGACTATTTATAAACCTAACTGTCACAGTGAGAAATAAGGTAAACATGAGCCTAGTGGAGGACATGACTTCTAAATGGCTCTGGTTCCGGCAGCATCCATGGGATCTCGGCATAGAGTAAGAATATTCAACATTAAAACATTATTGAAAATTAAGATCAATAGTAAAATGCCTTACCTGAGCCCAGTATCTGAAAGCCACCCCCAAGGTTGGCACTCGTGAATCCAAGGAGGCATAGTCAGCTAGTAGTTGATTAGTAAATTTGGAAGATGTACTGCTTGCCCCTACCACCATACGCAAATTAGTCTTGGCATGTGTGAAGGACATGGTTGGGAATGAAGATGATAGATCGTCTAATACATCTCTGGAAAAAATAGATATTTTGCTAATTAAATGCATTATATTTTATTTCATACTTTTGTATATACTGTATATCCACAGGAGTAAAACAGATGCATCACTGGTAGAATAATTTTAATTAAATTTAATTATAAGATTTAGGGTAATATTTCCGTCCCTGTTTTTCAACATGAGTCGAGACAACTCTCATAAATGATCCTGGGAGCAATAAATTCCAACTACACACCAATCTAAAATATTACATTCCAGGAAATATTTTACAATGAATGCCTAGAACAAAGTTTGTAAACTTACTTGTATATATCACTTTTTCCAACCAATTCTTTTACGGCTAAAAGAGCTGTAGATGGATTAAGTTCATCGTCCATAACAACATCTATGTTAATATCACTTGTTTTTAAGCAGAAACCGCTCACCGATGACCCCACCATCTCCAAATGACAACCTGCATCAGAGAAAAATTTATATTGTAGAATTTTTTTTTCTTAAAGGAACAACTTTGTGGAGTATCACCATTACCTGATGATGACTTTCTATTGCCAGGAAGAACAAACAACAGCAATAATTAACACAAGAATTTTTGAAGAAAACCTGGAAAGAGTTACAAGTTAAGCTAAGCTGGTGTAAAGAGATGCCAGATGCTCCCTCACAACCAGTCTGACCTAGCCCCAAAGACATCTTAAGATCTTGCCTTCAATTATCGAGCAATTCAGTAATCCGGACATCTAGAGAACAATTAGTACAAAGAACAAAATACTTAAAGGGTAATACTTTGTAATGAAACCTCTTTCTCCCATCTCTTGCTACTCACAGTGATGTAGGAAACTAAATCAATTTTTTATTAATAATTTACCTTCAACCTTATTAACTAGAAGGCCATTTAGCTGAGTTACAACTTCTTGCCGTTGCTTCGTCATATCTGGAGTAACTTTCATCTTATCAGCAATGGATGTAACCAGCTTGTCAATAGATGCAATATGGCCATCTGTGGCTGAGGGCACATTCTTGAGAGTAGTTTCTACATCTTTGGACTAGAAAAGATAAAATATGGAGATCAAAATTTAGTAAAGAATAGTTTTGGGACAAGATGACATTCAAACCATATATCAGAATATGAAGTAACGACAATGTTTCGGTCCATCCTAGGCTATTATCAAGTTGTGTAATAGTCCATGACAGACCAAAACATCACTTTCTTCATTTCCCGATGTGTGGTTTGGATATTATATCTTCAGCCACGTTATTGTGACTCGCTGCTTGCACTTTTGGGATGAGTTGCGAGTTAAAAAGGACCCAAACCAGGTCAATTATTAAATAAACTTACTCAAATGAATAATCGAAATATAATGTCAGGAAATTTTGTTACTTCACAAGGTTTAAAGCAACTCATAACTCCTCTACCCTCTATATTTCGAAGACATCACGCTAATACAACACTAGGTTTAGCAAACTTGTGGGCATGAAAAGAAAAATAATGTTTGGTGTTCCTATAGTTCTGTTTAATTTACGTCTACAACCTTCTTTTTCTCTCCTCTTCTATACAAAAGCAAATTTTGTATTTAGGGCGAAATAAGATTTTCCAGCAAACACCTGCATGAAAGTACTCTGATGTGGAATTATATCTGATGTGGAGTATAATGTGATAGAAGCTTAGAATGTGCATTAGAGTATTTTTCTTGAAACCAATATAAAACTGATATGAGTTAATAATGATGCAAAAGCAGCAAAACAATGTCAATCTTGTAAAGTAGGGTGGTTCATCTTATCTTTTACAAGACTACAACAATAAGATAAATCTTTTATATGACCATGAATGTGTGTGTGTCAGTTGTACCACAGATCTTTAGGTATGTGTTGCAATTACACATTCTGATTGCAATGTGAATGATATGAACAAGTGTTGGTGTATTTCAAAGGTCAAGAGGCAATTTGTTCCACATGTGGCAATCTCTGAAGTGGACTAAAGAGTTGTGCCAGAAATGAATGAGAATGTGAGTTTAGATCTCAATGTAGAGCATTTCCTTTACTACTGCATGTGATTGGCAAGTATACCAAGTTACAGTACGCAGTAAGAAATCAATACTTTAATTTTACTCAGTACACAGGCGTCTTGGTAATGTAATACTGTACACTGGGTAATATGAGCTAAAATCAGCAACTGATGATGATAACAGCATTAGCCCAGGAATCAACATATGATGATGATGACCAATCTTTAAGGATTAAGAGGTATCTGAAAAATAATTGGTATTTATACATCTCTCAACTCTTTATTCTAAACTTTAATTATGATACCTAATTAAAAGTTAGAGAGGTTTTACCAACATAAATCAGTTAAAAGAATATAATTAAATAGAATATGATGTTAAGCAGAATATGATTAAAGAATTTTACAACTCACCTCCTTGAGTTTCCTGTGTCTGGTGTCAGAAATGTGTCTTCTACAAACAACTAAAGAATCACAATGATAATCACAGAGACGGCAGAAATACTTCGCCTTCGGGAATCGTATGGATTTCTGAAATTAGACAAGCTTCAATGATGTGCCAAAGTTTAAAATTATATTTACTTACAAACCCTGCTCTTCTTATGAAATAGTTTATTAAAATTAGAACTGCATTTACAGTACAAATACAGTACAGGAATACACTCCCCTTTGTGAAAAAATTTCTTATTCCTCATCTCCTTGCCACCTTTTTGCAGTACTCACTGCAGTGAGTGCAGTACTCACGCGAGATATCTCAGCGAGTACTGCACTCACCGAGGTACTGTATCTCAGTTGACAGGAAGTGCACTCGCCGAGAAAACTCATTTGTAAATACAGTACAGCAAACGATTCAAAACTCCTGTGAGTACTCAGGGTTCACATTCAGTTTTTCAGGCCACCAGTGATCAGACACCATCTTGAAAGTAAATCAATTACCAAAAAGGCACTCATCCTTTCATTAACTCTTCCAAACAAACCAGTATTACTTACAATTAAATAATCACACAATTATTCTTTACTCTAGAGCTGCACTATTTAAAACACAAAAATCTTACTTTCTTAAGAGGAAATAAAAACTGTTCTTCAAGTTCTGATAAAATTTCAGGACTAGGTCGGAAATCTGGACTCTCGGCGTCTGAGGCCACTTGAGAATTTGTTGGGGCATTTATCTGTCTGGGGCCATTCATCCGCATGTCTTTGTGATCCTTAGGAGTTCCTCTATGCTGCTGTTGATGCTGATATTGATGCTGATTGCGAGGACTGCCAACATAGCCACGGTCATAACTTCCCTGTCTATGGTTACTTCTACTTGGACTTCCATAAATGTCTGCAGATTGCCTAAAATCACGATATCTTTGAGATTGAGGTCGATACATAACATTAGTTCTCCCAGGACTTCCATAAGCATCTACTCGATGTCGTCCATCGTGATATCTGCCAAGACAAATAGACAAGTTTTAAAACCCGACTTGATGTCTTTAATATAGATATCTGTGAAAACACAAGTGAAAAATACAGAGAGAGAAAGCTAATAATATATAAAGTCAAATTGCTCATATTTTATTTAGTTTTCCTTAACTTCACTGGCTTGCATGACAAAATATTTACTCATGTGGTCCTTTACACAATTTTCTTTAACTATGAACATATTCCTTAGTACTTGAATGCACCAGATTCATTCATAATGGTAGCTTTCTATGAAAGATAATCTGTCATTCATTTCTCTTATACATTGTCACTCATACTTAATTTCCCCCCACCATTTAAAGTATAGTACTGTGCAAGTCTCATGACTATCATATACACCTCCTATGCAGTAACTGGAAATGAATCCTCTTGATTAGTCCATACATTTGATAATGCAAACTTCAGGGAGTCACTTGGGCTCCCCCAGAAAATAGGAAGTTCAGGAAAATTATTTTCAAAATGCTAAGTGTAAAATTCTGAGGTGCTGAGGAGCTGAAACGGGTGAGTTTACCACCAGGCACAAAGAACAAACCTAAATGTAAGACTAAAGACTGAATGTAATGATATGCACTTTTTTGGTGGGTATCCAACAACTCCTTAATGACATACCAAGAAAATGGATTTTTTCATGTTACCATTTCCAGATAATAAGCTGCATACAGACAGCATAGGACTACAGTTTCAGCATGGGCATCTAAACTAGCCATGATAAATAAATGACTCCAGCTTCTGGAATTCAATTTCGACATATAGAAAGTTAAAGAATTATGGAATAACTTAGGCCACAGGAGCACTGTAAATTATGAGGGAGATAGCTAAAGACCATAGAAAAGGAAAAAGATCTAAATGTGGACAGCACATTGAACCTTACACAAGAATGCACAAGATATTAGCAGCAATGTATGAAAACAATCACAGTCCTGGAATATGCAGCACAGGGATGGAGCCCTTACATCGCAAAATATAAAGAAAAACTGAGAATATTTGGATATTCACTACACGATTATGATCTGAAATTTGTCAACTAAACTATAAGGATAAGTTAAAGAGAGCTCAAACTACAAATTTTATTGGAAAAAACCAGCGTTGAATGTAATGAAACACCATTTTCTGGGTGAGACCCGGAGGCTCCCCGGAGCTTTACCAGGCTGATATGCTAATGTCATGTGTATGGAGTTCTTTGGCATCAGTCATGTGTATGGAGTTCTAGGGCCTACCAGGGACCACGGCCAGAACCTGGCCCCCTCAGAGAGGCAAGGGAAGCAATGGCCTATAGAAACCCCCGTGTGGCAGGAAGCATTCTATGTCTGCCATCGACCGGGTCAAGCATCCAGAAAGGTAAGCATTCCAAAACAAACCCCTATTCTGGTGAAAATTGCTACCTAAAGCCGAACTAGTGGATAGAACTCTTCAACAGAAAACAAGGAAACTAGTATGACGTCATACGTCACCGCGCCGCTGTCTGCGCAGCTCCCCCCTCCCGGGGAGGGGGGAAGGGGGAGCACCAGACCTATCACGCCGGCTATCCACCCATCAGTTCTGAGGCTGGATGTCAAAACACGCGAAAAACCACCGACCGGAGGGAGGGAGGGTTGCCGGGGAGCCTCCGGGTCTCACCCAGAAAATGGTGTTTCATTACATTCAACACTGGTTTTCTGGGGGGAGCCCCGTCGGCTCCCTGGAGCTAGCTACCCACAGAGGAAGGTCAAAGGGACAGAACCGGGAGGCGGACACCACGCACCCCCCACGGAAGCGAGACAACCGACAGCAAACGCCAACCCAAGGCGCCACAGCCCCGAAAAATCCCGGGAACAACACGAGAACAACAAGCAGCAAGGCCCCCGCACGAACACCAAAAATCCACGCCCGAAAGACCGCAAGGCCACGTCGCCCAGACGGCAGCGAGAGCAGCGAAGCCACAAACGCCACGGGCATGAGGGAAGAACACAGGCAGCTTAGCCGCAAGAACACAGCCGACCACCCGGGACACCATCACCCGCGAACCGGGAAGAACAGAACTGGATCAATGCAAAACGCGCTCCGGACCCAAACGCCGTGGCACGCAAACAACAGCGGAGGGCCGCCACTGAACACAAAACACGACACACCCCCGGCCCGACCAACGAAGCACCAACAAACCCTGGACCCCTCCAGAACGCAGCAGCCCCACCCCGCGCCAGAAAAGATGGAGACTGCTGCCACCGAACAACCAAAACGCTAAAACCGAAGGAGGAAGAAAACTCAGCGACTCGACCCTCAGAGGCAAAGGCCAAAAGGAAAGAGCCGACGAAAAAACACACCAGAACCGAAGGGGCACTACCAACCGAGGAGAAGACAGAGCACGCTGACCAGAGACCAGGATGGTGCAAGCGGCGCACGAACAGGCCGGAGGTGAAACGACGCATGAGACAGCTTACTAACGGTGCAGAAGTAACACCTAGACCCAATACAAGCTGAAGCGGCTCCGCCAGCGCCGCACGAAAAGAGGCGACAGTATGTGGCAAGACGACGGCCCCCAACCCCCACCAGAAAACCAAGCCGAGAGTAAACCAAGCTAACAAGAGTAACCACCTAAGAAGGGACAGGAAAAGGAAGGACCGCCAAAATACCCCATACTGCCGCCAAGAGAAGCACGCAGGTGGGACACCTACCACGAAGTCACCCGACCACCAACCGGAGGCGAGACCGCGAGGCAGAACATAAGCAGCCCCGACAAGGCCCCTCCGAGCCCAGGAAAAGGCGGAGCCGCGGGAAGATCTCGGGTGCGACCACCGAAACCCAGGCGGCACAAGGAGATGGAACGTCTGCCGAACAGAAAAACTCCCCAAAGCATGCAAGCCTGCCAGGAGATCAGAAACGACGGGTCCGACGAGACATCGCAAGACCCCCCCCAAAAAAAAAAAACGGCAGGGAAAGCTAGGAAACCAAAGAAAGCGGAAGGGTCGCCGCCAGAACAGTACCCGAACCAAGAGGTACGAACAACTGCAATAGACCGAGACAAAGAAGCACATCACAGGACACAGGCTAGAAAACGCCCAAAAACACACGCAGAACACCCCTGCTGCAGAGGAGGCAGGAAGAAAGAGCAGAAGTACAAAAAAAAAAACAGGAAAACAACCAGGGGTGGACAATTAGGCAGGGACAGAAAACCCCCATGCAATCCCCAGGCACAAAACAGTAGCAAAGTGCCACACCACAACCGGACACAGGAACAAGGACACGCCACCGTGAAACACGGTACCAATGCACACGTGCAGCAGCAGCAACAGGCACGACCACAACATCCAACATGTAAATAGCAACTCCCTTCTGCAAGGGCAGAGAAACGGAGCAGGCAGACCCCAGACAGGGCCAACGGAGACACGACAAAACCCAGCAGGCCCAAAAACCTGCACCAGGCGACCGACGGCGGAGAAACCCCGCTCGATACCTGCTGGATGGGGTACTGGGAGCTCTTTTACACCCCAAGCCCGGCCCAAGGCCAGGCTAGACCGGCCAGAGGGTGGCCCACCAGGCAGCTGCTAGGAGTGGCCCGCCGGCCTACATACCCCCACAACCAAGATGGGCCAGAACTGCTATACGAAAACAGGCTAGTGTGCCCTGGAAGTCCATGGATGAACCAGCAAGAAGGCTTATGCTCGCAAGTAGGTCGTGCAACAACCACAGACCTCAGATGGTAATACTGTGTACCCCAATTGTGCCTATAGCACCACTGCACTCCACTGGTACTATCCCGCAAGTTCTACCAGATAGGCGGGACCTAAGAGCCAGAGCTCAAACCCTGCAAGCACAGCCAGGAGCCTTACCAGGTGAGTACAGAACCAACCCTACAACCCCCACACCTCACAACATGAAAAAAGGTGGGTCCCCTGAATGACTCTAGCATGGGTTGGACATGCACATGAGGGGGACAGGAAGGGTTGAAAAAGGGAGTCACTGGTGTGCGACCGGTCTCAGTCGTACAAAAATAAACCTAAATAAAGACAGGTATATAAACAACACCGCATCCAGCGCCCGGCCAAAAGACGCCAGACCGCAGAAACTCACCTGGCAAACGGCGGCACGAACTTGACATGACTCAACCGTGCCCAGAAAAACCTGGGAGCACCGCCAGGTGAAGACACCAGAGCCGGACCCGCAGGAGAGCAGGGAGAGGCGAAGGAGGTGGCCCACACCCATGACACAGGGAAAACCGCGCCGTCCTCCCCACAACTGGGAACCAGGACACCCCCGGAGCGAAGGGGCACATACCGCAGCCAGGGAGAAGAACGAGAGGCGAAGCACTGTAGCAAAAAGGGCGCAAAACACCAGCACTGAAACACCGCCCAGACCAAAACAAACTCCACGGCGCATGCTCATGACACGCTGGCCGAACCACACAACCCTCACTGCGGGAAGGCGCCAACCAGGACTATTGCACTAGAAAAGTAGCCAAAAGAGGAAGCCGGAACAATAAAACCAGCCAAAGAAGCAAAGAGAGCCCAAAAAGAAACCCAACCGGGCGACAAGTAGCCCAACAGGGCGACAAGTAGCCCAATAGGGCTACAAGTAGACCAACAGGGCGACAAGTAGCCCAACCGGCCCACAAGTAGCCCAACCGGCCCACAAGTAGCCCAACCGGCCCACAAGTAGCCTAACCGGCCCACAAGTAGCCCAACCGGCCCACAAGTAGCCCAACCGGCCCACAAATAGCCCAACCGGCCCACAAATAGCCCAACCGGCCCACAAATAGCCCAACCGGCCCACAAGTAGCCCAACCGGCCCACAAGTAGCCCAACCGGCCCACAAGTAGCCCAACCGGCCCACAAGTAGCCCAACCGGCCCACAAGTAGCCCAAAACGGCGACAAGGACGAGGAGCCGACAGACGTTCCAATAATGCGGGAAGTAGCGAAAAACCTTCCCGAACCCTCGAGAACACAGAAGCCAACACTAGTCCCGAAGGCACACAAAGGCGCAGGCGCACCCAAGACCAGAAGTCACGTAGAACCCCATCGAATGGGGAAACATGACGAAAACACCGTCCCAAAAAAGGGTGGGAGGAAACATCCACCCACAGGACGGAACCAACCGACTCTAAGGCCAAGGAACCGAGCCCGGGGAGGGGCCGACGCCCAACAGCACGTACGGCGAGTGGGGAGGAAAGACCCCACTCCGCGTAACCACAAGCCCCGCCTAGAGGGGGATAAAAACTCCCACGGGGTCCAACGGGGCCAAGGCCCCCCAAGTCAGCCCCTACCCAGCCCCGGGAACATACACGACAGGCCCCAGGGCCGAGCCGTTCCTCCAAAGCCCCCGCCGTACCAGAAAACCGGGGCAACCGTGAAAACACTAAGGAAGGGAGCCCACTGGCAGACTCATACAACACGGCTGGAGGAACAGGCTCAAATGCCCCGTCACTACCCCAGAAGGGGAATTCCCCAAGACTGCCGAAGTCTCAACACCATCAAAAACCCCGCCCCAAACCTACAGACGGTAAGGAACCGGATGCAGGCAGGAAGAGTGATCCAGGGGAAAGACAAGGGGGCGTGGATGGAACCGAAGCAACCAACACCCCCAAGTCCCAAAGCGAACTAAAACGGGGCAGCCCCGGGGCTCCCGGGGAGGAAAACACGAGAACGTTGCCACCACCAAGGCTCAAGTGCAACGCCCCTGCTGCCCACACCCGCTTAGTCAGTACAACTGGGTAACCGAGCCACAACGAGCAACCAAACTCGCAGGACTCCGGGTCGAAAGTGTCACCGACCCCACAGGCAGCAGACGGAGGCAAAACAGAGAGTCACCTAGAGACAAAGGGTGAGAGCAACCCTCAAACTCGCTTGAAGCGAGGGGGGGACTCTGGGGTCACATCCATCGGACCCGCGCGCCCCCAGGGGTTTCCCAGGGTCCCGAGCATTTACTATAAAAGGACTCGCGCTCAGGTAATCCCAGGCAGGGTACTGCTAACCGGCAACCAAAGCTACCAAACAACTTTCTAAGAGCTGAACCCCGGGACGTGTACACTTATGGGGACCTAGCAGGGGGTACCACCAGAAAATACTCAGAACACAAGGGACACAAGGGGCAAGAACCAAGGCAGACCCCCCCCCCCACTAGGTAGATAAACAAAAAGAAAAAGAAAACCCCGCAAGAGGACAGCGTACCCAAGCAGAACAGAACCGGCTGCTATGATTGGTAAAGACAAGCTGCACAGTACCCTGCGCCCCACCAGTGCAAAAACTGCCCCTTACTCTAAGGCGAACAAGGGAGACAGAACACCCGAGCACACAAAGAGCGGCCGAAAACCAAGCAGTAAACAGCCAAGCAGGGGCAGGACCCAAGGAACTTGTGGAAGGTGGCCCCAAGCCCCAAGGGCAGTACTTACAGGGCACCTAGGGAAGGGAACCCTAGGCACATGCAGCCCGAGTACTGGAGAATCACTCCCGGCTCACGCACCACCTAGAAAACAGACACCACACTCTAGGTACAGTGCTGGTTGATACCTGGTTGATACCTGGTTGATGGGGTTCTGGGAGTTCTTCTACTCCCCAAGCCCGGCCCGAGGCCAGGCTCGACTTGTGAGAGTTTGGTCCACCAGGCTGTTGCTTGGAGCGGCCCGCAGGGCCACGTACCCACCACAGCCCGGCTGATCCGGAACTTCTCTTAGAAAATCGTCCAGTTTTCTCTTGAAGATGTCCACGGTTGTTCCGGCAATATTTCTTATGCTCGCTGGGAGGACGTTGAACAACCGCGGACCCCTGATGTTTATACAGTGCTCTCTGATTGTGCCTATGACACCTCTGCTCTTCACAGGTTCAATCTTGCATTTTCTTCCATATCGTTCACTCCAGTACGTTGTTATTTTACTGTGTAGATTTGGGACCTGACCCTCCAGTATTTTCCAGGTGTATATTATTTGGTATCTCTCTCGTCTCCTTTCTAGAGAGTACATTTGGAGAGCTTTGAGACGATCCCAATAATTTAGGTGTTTTATCTCGTCTATGCGTGCCGTATATGTTCTCTGTATTCCCTCTATTTCAGCAATCTCTCCTGCTCTGAAGGGGGAAGTGAGTACTGAGCAGTACTCGAGACGGGACAGCACAAGTGACTTGAAGAGTACAACCATTGTGATGGGATCCCTGGATTTGAAAGTTCTCGTAATCCATCCGATCATTTTTCTGGCTGACGCGATATTTGCTTGGTTATGCTCCCTAAACGTTAGATCGTCGGACATCATTATTCCCAAATCCTTGACATGCTGTTTTCCTACTATGGGAAGATTCGATTGTGTTTTGTACCAGTGGTTGCTGAAACAACCACTGGAGCCGGAGCACATAACCGGTGCCAATAGCATCAGCTGAAGAACTGATGGGTGGATAGCCGGCGTGGGAGGTCTGGGGCTCCCCCTTCCCCCTACAGGGGAGGGGGGAGCTGCGCAGACAGCGGCGCGGTGACATATGACGTCATACTAGTTTCCTTGTTTTCTGTTGAGTTCTATCCACTAGTTCGGCTTTAGGTAGCAATTTTCACCAGAATAGGGGTTTGTTTTGGAATGCTTACCTTTCTGGATGCTTGACCCGGTCGATGGCAGACATAGAATGCTTCCTACCACACGGGGGTTTCTATAGGCCATTGCTCCCCTAGCCTCTCTGAGGGGGCCAGGTTCTGGCCGTGGTCCCCGGTAGGCCCTAGAACTCCATACACATGACTGATGCCAAAGTCTGACATTAGCATATCAGCCTGGTAAAGCTCCGGGGAGCCGACGGGACTCCCCCCAGAAAAAGAACTAGAGAAGATATGATTGTGACATTTATGAGAGCAAGTGGCAGAAACAAGGAGATTTCTCCAAATAAAATGCAGAAGTCCATAGATGGAAACTGTAAACAGTTTAGTCAAATTTTAATAAGGAAATAGGAAATCAGAGCATGAAAACTAAACACACAGAACAAACTGGACATAGTAGTAGGCAAGGCAAATGCAACCTATCATCAAGCCCAGATGACAAAATCACAAACATTTATGAGAAAAGTTGTGAAAAAATAGTAAGGCCCAAGAGCTATCCCTTCCTGACCATAAGCACCATTAGGAATGGTAAGGAAAATACATCAATGAACAAGAATACAAAACTAAAGTCAATAATGCAAGCTATAATAAAATACAAAAAAGAAACAGTGACTTTTATTAAAGCAAAAGATTTTTTTACCTGTTGTTATCCCAGCGCTGAGGCTTATTGGAGGGACTGCCAGACCTTTCATAGTGCTCGTTTGCAAGTTGACCCTTGGGAATAATAATGAGATTAAAAGAGGAAATATTTGTTAAAGGTGAGTAAAGCCAAACTACTCAATAGCTATAACTAGAAGCAGTGAGAATATTTTTTTGTGGGGGGTTAATAATTAGTAGGATGAAACCATATACACTGCTGCTCCACTTTAATCGATCCTCATGTTACAAATTCCTGCTTTAAATGGAAGAAATATAATTGAGTTTTAGAATGTAGAAGGTACTGATTAGTCTGGATAATATGGTTAGTCATCTGTAGCCTTAAAAGTACTGTATATGTTTTTAGCTGTTTTGGCACATCTTTTTTCTAAACCTTTAACTGTTGCTTTGTTTTTAATGTAAGTCGATGTCCAATGAATGGAGCCCAAAACAATCTCACCCACATCATTGACTGAGGAGTAAGATGAGACTTTTACCAGTTAATAAGGAACCTAAATAGCACACCAACTGGAAAAGCAAAGCGTCCCCAACTAGGATACAATACTGACGACTGTGAGCCTAAACCAGCAATTAATTTAGGCGTCCCTGAACCCAGATGCCAAGAGCCTAGAATTGGTGAAGCACAACCCATTAGTCTTAAGAATCTGAGTGCCAAGTTTAGCCAAATTTGACCCTAAATGAAAGTGGTAGCAGATGTGTTAATTTTAAACTCCAGCCAATCCCTGAAAAATGGATGCTTTGGAACATGCCAGTAAATGTTTCGCAAATCCAGGGAAACGAGCCAAGACTCCTACAAAACCACCTCCCAAATCTTGATACAGTAGTCATCTGGAAAGTTGGATAAGAGCTGAGTACACAGGCCCCCCAAAATCCTGACCATACTGTTCAGAACCAGACCAGGATTTCCAAGCCATTTGAGTTTCCTAATACTCCTGATTTCAAAACAATTGTCCTTTTTTTTCTTTGCAATCACCAAATTTTCCACTTTTTTTCTCATTTAACCTTATAATGAAATTGAACCACTGAATTTTGTTTTAAATAGATTCAATAACTGTCCCAAGGCACCAATTATTTTAGATTATCAGAGATAGAAAACTTGTATTTAGTTAGGATTATTGAGGTCCTCCAATGCCAATTACTGACCTTCCATATTGCAACCCATAAGAGTTGCTCAACTCCTGGGTACCTACCTACTGCTAAGCAAACAAAGGCATTAGGTGAAGGGAAATGTACTTAATCATTTCTGTCCTGCCCAGGGATTGAACCCAGGTCCCTCAATTGAGAGTAGAGGATGTAATTCATGTGAATATTCAGTAATGCCATATATTATATGGGAATTACATGGGAGTATTAAATTGGCTTGGAAAAATAGAACTTTTGCCTCACTTGTCTATGTACGGGAATATTCAGCGGGGAAGTGTGAAGCCGAGCATCCACATTGGCTTTCTCTGGTTCCTCTGCAGGGATCTTCAACAGTTGCTTTATCTGGTTTGTTGCATCATAGTTCCCACCTCGCCATCCTCCCCCTCTAGAGTCTCCTCCTCCCCCATCCATCGTCACAAACTAAAAGCCCCACTCACTGCAAGAAAAACAAGGATTATTGTACAGTATAACAATACAGTATTTTATGCAGAATTCTTTAAGGTAATGCATTCAGTGATTAAAGTATATTAAATTTAACCCTCAAAATGCGGGCAGTCGTCAAAACTGTCACCTTGCCTCACTGCAAAACATAAAAAAAAAAACTATTTAAATCATATCTGGTGTTGGTGTTGTCGCAGGAAGTCGGGTGGAGGGGGAATAGATATGAGAGTTCTTGACACACTTGTACAGGAAAAGCAATTTCTTATAGTAACCTTGGATATTTAAGCTGTTTCAATTATGCATTTACACAGTGTAGTGTGTGTGTGTGTTGAATAAATCAATTTATGTCTACTAATTGACAAAAAGTGATTGATTAATGTACAGTACTAGTATATAGGCCTATAATGTACTATGTAACCTACCACACACAGTCACCTGTTGTAACCCACTCCCTTAATGTGATTCTGTCTGGGAATGTCACCCTACCATAGATTCAAACACTAGAAGAAAAGACCATTTGACAATAACCATAGGCCTCTAGTACACAATATCTTCATCTCAAAGTAAGACCCTGCAAGTCTATACTGTATAACTTTTCCATGGTCTTGTTTAACTCCATTACATCTATATTAAACTATAAAATCATTTTCCTTATTGTTACTGTATTTACTAGTGGCAGTATTGTAACCAATAAGGTCTACACAGTTGCTACTGGCAAAGCAACACAGGTTGCTTGGAGGATATTTTAACACCTAAGTTTTGTCAAGATATTTAGCACCTCAAGAGTATGATACCTTATTGAATAAGGTTCCAGTCTTACCCCCACTTTTCATGGTGGCCTCATTACTACTCTTTGTGGTTAAACTAAAGGGATAGATGAGATCACATTTTCTAGGGTGGTGCCTGCCCAAACCTTACGCAACAGAACTCGATGGATAATACCACCTCACCAAGTGTTTCATTTGTATTTTTATACAGTAGCACAGTGTTCTGTTTCATGCCTTATTGCCATCACTTTTGTGTCTCAATAGTGAATATGCTACCCATACTGAATTTGAATATGCAAATGGAAATATGCTAGTGATGAGATGAACTCCATTGGCGTGTAGACTTGCGAGTTGGTGAAATAGAAAGGAAAGAGGGGTACTGCATGGTCCATTGAAAATATCAGAAGTTAATAAAATGAAATTGGATGCATGAAAAATATTGTTACATTAAGATGAGTAAAGTGATGCATGGGAAAAATAAGTTATTATCAAAAAAGGCACCAAGCCATGAAGACTATGTACAACCCCAAGGGAAAAGAAAGAGGGAATAATAATAAAGTAAATGGTTATAAAAAAAAGTAAAGGATGAGTTTAGTGGATGAAAAAATTAAAGAATGTGTTTAGAAGTGAGGAATTCATAATTAATATTTTTTTACAGAAACTATAAAAATAACCTTAACAAATGGTGAAGGATGTGGAAAAAAGATTGTTTCAACTCTGTACATGATGTTACCAATATATATGTAGAGAATATTTTAAGAGTAATATGGTTACAAATGTGAAGAAAAGGCATGACAATTAGAACAGGTTTTGGGATGAGCAAGGTTAGTGGAAGAAGCCCATTGGAACAGAAGATAGGGGTAAAATTAGATTAGCTATGAATAGTTAGTTCAGGTACAGATGAAATAAATGTAGATATCTTTAGGTATGAGAGCAAGGCAATGATACACAATTAACTGTTTGATTGCATGGCAAGTGGGCGAGATACCAGTCAATTGACTACAGCTATCATTGTAATTATATACACACACATACATATATATACTATATGGTAAAAATGCAGACAATGCATCACAATAACATAGCTGAAGAAATGGTTCCTAAACTACACACCAGAGGATGAAGAAATGGAGATGTTTCAGTCTGTCCTGGACCAAAATCTACTTGATAATGGTCTGGGTCAGCCTGAAATAATGTTTCTTCATCCTCTGGTGTGTGGTAGTCATCATATGGTACACATTAGAAGAGATGAATGTGAGAACTATAGGGTGATCATTGCAGTGGTACAAATTGAAATTACAGTAACATTTTATGTTTCCCTGAGGGAGATGGTTTTCCCTGGAGTAATTATTTCGACCAAAGCACAACTGGATATTTAATTGCACTAAAAAAATTTCAATACTAAAAGAAAAGGCTACAAAGGGCCCGTTTCTTTGCTGGGTCAAAGTGGACATGAAACTCGAAAATGCTGTCTCTTAATTACTGTATTTATTAACTGATATATTCATATGAAATAACTAATCATGTACAGTATACATAATATATCTTGAAAACCTAAAAAAAATTAACTCAATTACAGTATTTTTCATAAATACACTTTTATTGTATGTCACATGAATCCCCTGCACAGCAGTGGAACTGCTTTTTCCCTTCACCTTCAATGCCTCTGCCCTGGAAGTGTACATCTACACCAGCCCAGATGAGTCATCAGTCCTGCCACTTCTCCATACCCCCCAGGGCCTGGCATGGCCTGACACGGCTTGGTATGACTCGGAGGCAAGCCAGGCGCCTCTGCTAACCTGTAATTTGCCCCCACAAACAAGCAGTTAGCCGCCTTCAACTGGCAGTAGTGCAGCTCAAGACAAAGGCACCACCAGCCACAACGAGCAGTTTGCTAGTTGACCAGGTGTCCACCTTGCGTTGACACCGGATGAGTCATCACCGCCGGACTATATAAGGGGCGCCACCTCCCTGGAGAGCCAGTCTCTCCCTTAGTGCTCTTGGAACACCTTGGTGTCTCTCACCCGTCATCTGACTTCAGTCAACGCCGTGTGTCTGATGCCGTGGTGGTATGGTAGCTGTCTTCAGTACAGTATATTTTTATGCCTTGTATTCATTGCTTACAGTTTATTTTTGCATTAATGTCATATTAACTTGTTCACCTTTGCATTACATGATAGCCAAGTATTGTCATGGGTCATTTTTGTTCATTAATATTTCGGTATATTGTTTTAATTATTTATTTGATGATTTTCATTTGTTTCCACCTGCGACTTACACACTGCAAGGCCAATAGCATTTTTTTTTTAATTTGTGCGAGGGAGAGCCATACCATCTTGGTTCAGTATAGCCGTGATGCAGTACCACAACCCGTCACATGTAATTATTAATTTTATCCTGTAAGGCTCTGATACATAATTTGAAACAGTTAAGTTTAGTTCGTTTATTATAGAACTTGATGCCCATCACGTGGGCAGTGGCAAAAAGGCTTTCATTTACATAATGGGTTCAAGAACTGGACCATAATGCTCAAGCTAAGAAATTTACATTTGTACGGAACTACGTAGTTATATTTTATCGCACCCCCATACACCATGGGTGGTGGTCTAAGGTTTACAGTCTCACACACACATCTTTGCACTACCTAAAGTACATAAGCTAAGGATACTTTGCAAAGATTTTGGATTGTATATTTTTGGATGAAATTTATGATAATTTCTTTAATACCAGTGGAGTAGCTCATTTAGATCTGACAAAATCTAATATTCAAAATATACACACAATTAGCAAGCTTAAAAAAATGTTGAAAAGTACTGTACAGTATATAAATAACAAATTACACATTTTAATGAAAAGAAATTATAAAACTGTCAATACAAAATTGAATGCTTATTTATTCTCTTACAACAGCAGTTAAATTGTAACTACAGTACCTGCACACAGTGTATAATCCATCCTAATCCTAGCAGTTCAAAAATTATATAATCTCGCAACCAATATGTCTGGTTCATAATATAAAGCAGCGGTTCAGTCGATTAAGGCAGCGTCTCGGATGCTCTCAGACGCAGGTTCGAATCCTCGTCACGGCCCTTGTGGATTTGTTCACCAATATGTATGTGCTTTGATTCCCAGCAGGACAAGATGTTTGGCCAAGTTTCCTCACACCTGATGAGCCTGATCACTTAGCAGTAACTAGGTACCCGAGAGTTAGGCAACTGTAGAGTTGTATCCCAGAGAAGGCCAAGAGAGGGACGTTAATTAGTAGCACAGGCGGCACTTGCCCCCGACACTGGGAAACCATATGCTAAACACATTTCAGTTATGTCGCATGACGGTGCAAACTCTTAACAACTGGTTAGATATTAGAAGAACACCACTAATACATTATTGTGATGGTGTTTTGGTTTAGGCTTGTACATGGCATATATATATATATATATATACATATATATACATGGCATATACTGCCCTGTGCTGGAATGGTTATGTTATTTAGAAATAATTATTCAGAGAAAAAATGCATAATATTCTTCATACATTGTTCCCATTATGGTATGTTAAAATAAAAACAATTACTGTAAATCAACTCTGGGTGAGTTTTTTCAGGTATAAACACAGGTAACATTATCTTATATCCAAACCAGATAATGTGGTGCAACCCATGAGCCAAACCCCCATATGCCTCTTATTAATAACAGTAACATTAAAGTTGTCACGAACAACTTGAGGTCAGCAGCTGCAGCACTCAACAGCTCCCACAGAGAGAGATAAGGTTTACCTGCTGGACCTTGAGAACAATGCTGTACAGGTACCTAACCTGTGCCAACATTGCACATCATGAATATCTAAGCTTTTCTTCGCCTGACAATTTTTCCTTAAATCCTTTAACTGAATAGAACTAAAACTTTGTTTCGTGTATTTGGTATTATTTGTTTTTTTGTAAAGTATTACATGTAAGTGTAGATATTGAGGCGACTGAAATTCACACACACACAGTCGACACAAAGTTATCAGACGGAAAAATGTGGATAAATCACATGCGCGGCAGAGAATCCAAGATATCCACATCCACCGCTATAACTAGCATAACAAGAGGGCCTTAACTGGTGAAATATTGCGACACAGCCTCCAAGATGAGGTAGAAAGTGGTAGTAGCAGTTTGTAAACAAATCGCCATGTACTTTCCCCCCACTGCTGGCCAGGCCCCCAGCAGCCTCCTCGCCTCACGCCAGCCACCTCCCGCCCTCCTCCCTCTGCCCAACCGCAGCCGCGTCCTCACTGCTCACCGTTATGTGATTCATGGATCAGCTCTGGAGTGGAGGTGGGTGGGAAAAGTGTGTAGGTGCAGGAGGCTAGGCGTCGCAGTAGCCAGTGTTGTGGTGCGGCTCAGCCCCCACCAGGTGGCAGCTCCCGCACACACACACACACCCGCCAAGCTTGAATCCCTCCAGGCACGTGCTTCACTACCAAATGTATATGGTTTATCTCTCAGAATGTTTGGTAATATGTTTATTGTTTGTGATATGTGTCTATGTATGTATTAACACGATGTACTGAACGGGGTGAGAATAGCTTGAGCTACCTCATCTCTTTGTGTGTATTTTACCTCAATAAACTTATTTCAATTTCAATTTAAATTTCGGTCATGTTCAACAACATATGTTTACAAGAAAGACTGCCACCAAAATATTCTATTATATACAAGAAGGTACATTGGGTTCATGAGATTACAGAGACTAGAAGTATTACATTCTTCTAAAGCTACTAGCACGCATAGCGTTTCGGGCAGATCCTTAATCTACCATATAATTTTAAGAAGGTAATTTCTAGCAAAATTAAAAAAATGTTTTTAGAGCCCTAAAGAGGTGGGAATTCCGGACACCGTGTTCTCCCATATAACAGGGCTTGATGGAAAACGTGAATCCACGGGGGAGACATCTCCCGTCATGCAGGGTGCAGTCGAACCTCCACAGATCTCCAGTATTAGCTCTTCATACTGGTAATGGCTCAAAAGGGCCACTACTTACGGGCTATTCATGCCCGTGCCACTTTTTTGGGTGGCTTAATCTTCATCAATCAACGTGAATCGACACAATCGACTTGAGAATGGTCCAGGACGGACCAAAACGTCGTCCTCCCTTCACCTTCTAGTGTGTTGTCTGGTCAACAAAACGTGAATTATCCCTCACTTTCTATGTTGCCTGGGGCCTAACCAGAGCAAGATATAGCTGAAGAACAACACCAGGTGTCTTGTTACTAACGCTTCCATTAATAAATCCCATTGTCCTATTTGCCTTATTACGAACATTTATGCATTGATTTTTTGGTTTTAAATTCTTACTAATCATAACTACCAGATCCCTTTCGCAATCCAACTTCGCAATCTCAACACCCTCTAGCTCGTATCTTGTAACTCTATCCTCATTACCTAGCCTCAGAACTTTACATTTATCAGCATTAAACTGCATCTGCCAATCTTTTGACCATTTCAAAACCCTATTTAGATCAACTTGAAATGATAGTGAGTCTTCTTCGGTGTTAATTTCCCTACCGATTTTTGTATCATCGGCAAATTTGCAAATGTTGCTACTCAAACCTGAATCTAAATCATTTATATATATTATAAACAACAGAGGTCCCAAGACAGAGCCTTGAGGCACTCCACTTACAACATTATCCCACTCTGACTTAACCCCATTTATACTAACTCTCTGTTTTCTTTGGAATAGCCATGCCCTAATCCAACTTAATATAACACCCCCAGTACCATGAGCCTCTATCTTTTTAATCAGTCTTTCATGTGGCACTGTATCAAAAGCTTTGCTAAAGTCTAAAGTCAAGGTACACAACATCACAATTCTTACCACTATCAACTGCCTCAACTATGCTGGAATAAAAAGATAGCAAATTTGTTAAACATATACAGCCTTTTGTAAAACTGTTGCGACTCATTTATTAATTTATGTTTTTCAAGATGAAGACGAATTATATTTGCAATTATCGATTCAAGTAACTTTCCCACAATAGACATTAGGCTAACTGGCCGATAGTTTGACGCAAGTGATCTATCTCCTTTCTTTAAAATTGGAACCACATTAGCAACTTTCCATGACTCTTGCATTCTGCCTGACTCTATTGACTTATTAAATATGGTAGACAGTGGCTAGCAAAGCTCCTCTTTGCATTCTTTAAGCACCTTGGCAAACACTTCATCTGGCCCTGGGGATTTGTTTAGTTTTAGTTTTACTATTTGTTTAATTACATCCTCCCTGGTAACGGCTAAACTAGTCAACCTGTCCTCGTCCCCACCCACATAGACTTGTTCGGCTGAAGGCATATTGTTAAGTTCCTCTTTAGTAAATACAGATATAAAATATTTATTAAAAATACTACTCATCTCCTCGTCATTATCCGTTATTTGACCTGTCTCAGTTTTTAATGGACCTATCCTTTCCCTAGTCTTTGTTCGATATAACTGACAAAAAACTTTAGGATTTGTCTTTGCTTGCCCTGCTATGCGAACTTCATAGTATAGTTTCTTTTTGGTTTCCTTATCTCTTTTTTTTAACATTTCTAACCAGTTGTACGAATTCCTGTTCTAAACTGACTTCCCCATTCTTAATCCTTTTGTACACGCTTTTTTTTACCTATAAGGCTCTTCAGATCCTTTGTTATCCACTTTGGATCATTAGTATTCGATCTATTCAATTTGTATTGTATACAACGTTCCTGTGCTTTGCTTAGAAGCCAGTGACTAGGTCATCAGTGAAGCCAGGAACTAGGTCATCAGTGAAGCCAGGGACTAGATCATCAGTGATGACCTAGCTACTGCTTGCATGATTTTATTTACTAATTCAGCTGCCATAATGTTTCTGTCATAAGTTTCCATATGGATATCAAAGCTTAGGGAGCACCCTTCCTTAAACCACCAATCTGTCGTTTACTGTATATCAGTAGGAGTTTTTTTAGTTCGGTTCATTTATTATGCACCCCATACCCATCTTGTGGGCGGTAATGGAAAGGGTTACAGAGGCACATAATGGGCTCAGGGACTGAACCCCACAATTCATTTAGCTAAGCAAGTTACAATCTTGATGAGCTAGTTACAAAATTCAATATAAGTCGTCACATCAACAATGGGTTCGAGATCGACCTCAAGTACAGGTTCTAAATTAAGCAACTGACATATGTGGAGAGCTAGTGTCAAAATTTATATGTTTGTCCTGCACACCGCCCCCTATCCAGTGGGCAGCGGTGGATAGGTTACAATCACTTAGTTACTACCTACATTTAGCAAACTGGGGATATTTGGCTAAAATTTCTGGTAGCAGATCATTTTGAATGAAATATTGACACATCGTTGGAACATTGGTTATAGAATTGTCTCTAAATTCACGTATCTTTTCGCACTCCATCACATAGTGACGGAGGGTGTGCGAATAATTTTGTTGACACAGTTTACATTTGGTCAGGTCTACATCAGCAGATAATGAGAATTCCCAGAGATACTTGTAACCGAGCAGTAGTAACATCTAGAAGTCTGCTGATTTTATTGGATGATCCATAGATGTGTGGCTCCTCTTGCATGATAGTATGATGATAGATGGAATTACTGGTGTCAATTTCACTTTGCCTCAGGTCTACAAGATCTTGTTGAAGTTCTCGGTGTACTGCTGCTCTCAGATTGCTCATTGACAATCCAAGGTTACACTCAACGGCTCCTTTAAAGGTAGATTCTTTGGCTAACTTATCAGCTCTATCATGCATTCGGAGGCCAACATGAGATGGAGACCACATGAAATGGACTCTGTTACCATCCTTAATAATTTTGTTGCATTTGTGTCTAGCTTCGGACACGAGCATGTTACAGTTATGTCTTAAAGAGTTGAGAGCATTTAAGGATGATAAGGAGTCACTTACAATTAATGTAGGAGAGAATATCTTTGTCTGTCAAAGGTTGAAGGCCAGACATGTAGGGCTAGTCTCACCCAACTTTGCATCCTCAAGAGAAAGCATGAGAAATTGAGACAGCTGAGAGAGCAGCAGTAAGCAGACGCAGAGGCCAAGAGAACAAACCTTCAGTATCATTAGAAACTGTCAGTACTGTATATATCATAGTTCACCCCTAATTTTAAATAAGTTGATAAATTAGATACGGGTCCATGCAGTAGTTGTTATGTATATAAGAGTTACTCTAGATGGCTTTTTTAAACAAAGGTACATCATAAAAAGTTAAATGAAATATCCACGTGTCAATGTGTATAAATTATTTATTATTTGTAATACTGTGCTATCAAAACATATAATTATATTAAGTGACAAAATCAGGGAAATATAAATTTAATATTTGTTTAATAGGCTAACAGAGCGCCATCGCTGACATTGTCAACAGCAGAAGCTAACTATTATTTGTGAAATTCACCTTACTATTGGATGCCTTGTTTCCATGAGCGTTTATTACAAAAGTTGAATTTACATAAGTGCACAATACAGTATGATAAATTTTATTTGTGTAGAACATGGTACAAAGAGTAGCTTACAAGACTAAAGCAAAAATATAAGCAGGTCTGTACATTTGAATTGTTATGCTATTGCCATGTGTTTCACATTAAAAAAGTACATTAATGTACTGTATATTTATAGGTTATATTTTACATTAAACAAATATTTTTATTCAATGATAAAGTGAGTTGCTATACAGAGCTGCGAACATAAGAATTAAGTTAGATACTATAATTAAAAATATATAATAAAGTTAGACTAATAGGAACTGCAATGAAGGGATAACAATATTGAGAAATGTTTGATTTATAGGAAGGACATTCATTAGAAGCAAAGATATAGACTGAAAGAAGTTCATGTTGATCTTCAATAAGACTGTAAAATAACATCTGTGAATGTTACTTTTTACATTTAGCAGCATTTTTTTATTATTATGAACTAAACTTTTTTTAGAAGGCAAATATTATATACAAAATTACAGTACAGTACTAGTAGTTATAATATTTTAAAATTCTTAGTGTGTAGTTTTCCATAAAATAATAAAAAATTACATTTTATAATGTATACATATGTATCTCAGTCAAGCAGATCCTTGCACTTTTAATTTCTGTAAACATATAATATGAAGGTGGTACTGTATTACCTTCATCTTGTTCCATTATTGACAATTTACCTGCAAGTGGACATAGAGGTAAATTCAAATAGAGATGGCACATTCACTTTCAAATCATGAAATTAATCAAATGTTTGCACTTCTTCTAGTTTTTGTGAGAGAATGATGTCTTGCCCTTTGAAGTGAAAGATTCCACGGAACTTTCCTCCTCGTAAATATATTGGGAACCACAGCCTATCATCAGGCCACATCTGGCTGTAGGGAAGGTTGTCCACACTGAACCACTGTGGCTTCATCTCTGCAACATTATGTCCATTAGCAGAAAAGAAGGTACAGTATCAGTAATTTTACATTGAATGGAAAATTATACTATATTTTAAAATATACAGCATACAGTATAAAATCAAATACTATTGTATTATAAGCCTATTATTCAACAACATTTTACCCCCTCCCAACATCACACAAATTCTGTTATTTGGTCTATAGAGATATGCAGTATATGAAGATTCAGTTAATTTAGGAAAAATACTTTGCATTATGAGCAAGTCTTTACTTTCACACCACAATGTATATTCTCAGGGAATGCATACCTAGCTACTCAAATTTCAATATTCATTCTAACTCCGAGTACTTGTACTGTAAATTTCAGTCAAGCAATGACATTCTCTCTCATTCAAATATTCATTCTCTCATTCAAACTTGTTCCTTCTTTGACAAGTACAGTATGTTCCTTCTTGCATTAGTCATAGTTATAATCACTCCCTCATTTCTCACTTTCGTGTGGTGGCAAGGAATCATCATAAAAAGAAATAAGAAAGCAAAAAAATCTCTTTTCTGTTCACACTCAAACCGTACTTCACACACTCTCTTTGTCTGTCCATCTTGTTTTCTGGCTTTTCTTTTCTTCTACCTTCTTCACGCAAAACAACTCGAAACAATGGATAAAGGTTGGACAAATTTAAATTTAGGAAATACTTGGGAAATAAGATTCATACCTTTATTATTGGATGCGACGAAATTATGAGAACCAAGATTCTTTAAATTTAAAATTTTATAGATATAATAAAAGTTTTTGTCATCCTATATGACAATACTGTAGTTGCAGTCTGCTCTTATGAACTTTAAAATGTAAATTGACATTAGGCACAGTATAAGGGATAAACTTGCAAAATAAACCTGTAGAAAAGATGTAAAAAGAAATCTATCACTCCTCAAATATAGTTTAATATGAGTGAAATGCACTAGAGAACAAATTGGTGTTTGCAAAAAATAAAAAAGGATAGAAAAGCTAAATAGTACATATAATAATTGCAGAAAGAAAGATGGGACACTCGAGCATGACCTCTTTGTGAACCAAATATAATGCTAGTAACTGCTCAGTAGCCAACCATCTTTACTCTAGTAAGATTACAGGTACTTAATTACTCTATACTGTATCAGTAACTCTATCAGAACTTTAGCATTAAGGCCCTCTTGATTGTCTAACTTTATATCTTTACTCTCGGAGCAACGACCGTACTCTGAAACCAATACAGTACTGTACCTTCACAATGAAATAATTACCTTCACTCTCGGTGGGTGTGCCAGTGTATCCTCGAGCAGAAAAGACCATAACGTGCATGAGTATGGGGTCACCTTCAAAGGTAAACTCCAGCTCCCCAACCTTATCAACACCTCCCACTAACTCCACTCCAGCCTCCTCCTGCATTTCCCTGACAAAGAAACAAATATATATATATATATATATATATATATATATATATATATATATATATATATATATATATATATATATATATATATATTTTTTTTTTTTTTTTATCAAATATAAAAGGGTACCACCTCTGGTACCAATGTGGGGACCACATTGGCATCAGAGGTGGTACTATATATATATATATATATATATATATATATATATATATATATATATATATATATATATATATATATATATATAATTTTTTTTATCAAATATAAAAGGGTACCACCTCTGGTGCCAATGTGGGGACCACATTGGTACTATATATATATATAGTACATATATATATATATATATATATATATATATATATATATATATATATATATATATATATATATATATATATATATATATATATAGTACCACCTCTGATGCCAATGTGGTCCCCACATTGGTACCAGAGGTGGTACCCTTTTATATGTGATAAAAATATATATATATATATATATATATATATATATATATATATATATATATATATATATATATATATATATATATATATATATATATATATATATATATATATATATATATATATATATATATATATATATATATATATATATATATATATATATATAATATATATATATATAAACTGAAAACTCACACCCCAGAAGTGACTCGAACCCATACTGCCAGGAGCAACGCAACTGGTATGTACAGGGACGCCTTAATCCGCTTGACCATCACGACCGGACATAAGGAAGTGATAGCCGAAGCTATTTGAACCACTTCCCCGCCGGCACTCGGATGGTAATCTTGGGCATAGCATTTTATCAAATCACCTCATTCTTTGGGGCACACGTGAGGAACACAAATGCAAACAAGCCTGAATGGTCCCCAGGACTATATACAACTGAAAACTCACACCCCAGAAGTGACTCGAACCCATACTGCCAGGAGCAACGCAACTGGTATGTACAGGGACGCCTTAATCCGCTTGACCATCACGACCGAACATAAGGAAGTGATAGCCGAAGCTATTTGAACCACTTCCCCGCCGGCACTCGGATGGTAATCTTGGGCATAGCATTTTATCAAATCACCTCATTCTTTGGGGCACACGTGAGGAACACAAATGCAAACAAGCCTGAATGGTCCCCAGGACTATATACAACTGAAAACTCACACCCCAGAAGTGACTCGAACCCATACTGCCAGGAGCAACGCAACTGGTATGTACAGGGACGCCTGTACATACAGGGACGCCTGTAGTCCTGGGGACCATTCAGGCTTGTTTGCATATATATATATATATATATATATATATATATATATATATATATATATATATATATATATATTTTGGCACCAATATATATATATATATATATATATTTATTAAATACAAAAGGGTACCACCTCTGGTGCCAATGTGGGGACCCATAGCCTCGGAGAAGAAAATAAAAAGTATCCAGAGGAGACCTTGTGGTTTCTCACTGAACACTATTATTATCTTCTCCTACCACCCCCCATTCTTTTGTATGTACACATATATATTTGCTTTATTTGAACTTTGTTACAAAAAGGAGTTACATATAGGTTACAAAGATAGTTATCATAGGTTGTCGAGTTCCTCCAGCTCCTCAGATGGCGGGCAGGAACCCTGGATGCAGTGCGCATTTCCCCTCTGTACCGCCACGCTGAGGTGCTGGAAAAGAAAGCTGGCAGCTCTAGGGTCACTTGTTGTTTCAATGAGCCTAGAACCCAGTTCCTTCAAAAAACTGATAGCACTTTTACCCCAGGCGCTGAGTGTCTCAGAAGCAATGGGGGACAAAATTGTAGTGGTGATCCAGTTCTCTATACTGACGGGATTTGGCTGCTTCCCTGTGGGTGGCAGCGCCACCTGGTTGTGCAACACTGAGGTCAATGTAGGTGTTAGCCAGGGTTGATACGCACGTGTAGTCCCATACCAACTGCTTGCCATTCTTCCAGGGGTTCACTGTGATACCATCCACTGTGATTATATATATATATATATATATATATATATATATATATATATATATATATATATATATATATATATATATATATATAATATATATCACACACTTGCAAGAACACACAAGTTATCAGATCAATAAACTCATATAAATATAGGATGAGCACAGGAACCAAGGTGCTGGAGGGTAGGGATCAGCACTGAGTCATGCGGTTTGGGCGCACTGAATTTAATGACTGTTGCTGATGACTTCAGATACCGTTCTCTCTAGCATAACAGTGGTAAACATGAGAACGGCATTTATAAATGCTAAATATGAACTTCAAAACATCTATGTAGATTATGCGAGGTCAATACCTACTCTAATATGCAAGACAGGAATGAAATCTGAATATATGAATATATGAATATATATATATATATATATATATATATATATATATATGTCGTACCTAGTAGCCAGAACTCACTTTTTGGCCTACTATTCAAGGCCCGATTTGCCTAATAAGCCAAGTTTTCCTGAATTAATATATTTTTTCTAATTTTTTTCTTATGAAATGATAAAGCTACCCATTTCATTATGTATGAGGTCAATTTTTTTTTATTGGAGTTAAAATTAATGCAGCTATATGACCGAACCTAACCAACCCTACCTAACCTAACCTAACCTATCTTTATAGGTTAGGTTAGGTTAGGTAGCCGGAAAAGTTAGGTTAGGTTAGGTTAGGTAGGTTAGGTAGTCGAAAAAGCATTAATTCATGAAAACTTGGCTTATTAGGCAAATCGGGCCTTGAATAGTAGGCCAAAAAGTGAGTTCTGGCTACTAGGTACGACATATATATATATATATATATATATATATATATGTCGTACCTAGTAGCCAGAACGCACTTATCAGCCTACAATGCAAGGCCCGATTTGCCTAATAAGCCAAGTTTTCATGAATTAATATGTTTTCTCTAGTTTTTTTCTTACGAAATGATAAAGCTACCCATTTCATTATGTATGAGGTCAATTTTTTTTAATGGAGTTAAAATTAACGTAGATATATGACCGAACCTAACCAACCCTACCTAACCTAACCTAACCTATCTTCATAGGTTAGGTTTGGTTAGGTAGCAGAAAAAGTTAGGTTAGGTTAGGTAGGTTAGGTAGTCGAAAAAACATTAATTCATGAAAACTTGGCTTATTAGGCAAATCGGGCCTTGAATAGTAGGCTGATAATTACGTTCTGGCTATTAGGTACGACATATATATATATATATATATATATATAGTATATATATAATATATATATATATATATATATATATATATATATATATATATATATGTGTGTGTGTGTGTCGTACCTAGTAGCCAGAACGCACTTCTCAGCCTACTATGCAAGGCCCGATTTGCCTAATAGGCCAAGTTTTCATGAATTAATGTTTTTACGACTACCTAACCTAACTTTTTCGGCTACCTTACCTAACCTAACCTATAGAGATAGGTTAGGTTAGGTTAGGTTAGGTAGGGTTGGTTAGGTTCGGTCATATATCTACGTTAATTTTAACTCCAATAAAAAAAAATTGACTTCATACATAATGAAATGGGTAGCTTTATCATTGCATAAGAAAAAAATTAGAGAAAATATATTAATTTAGGAAAACTTGGCTTATTAGGCAAATCGGGCCTTGCATAGTAGGCCGAGAAGTGAGTTCTGGCTACTAGGTACGACATATATATATATATATATATATATATATATATATATATATATATATATATATATATATATATATATATATATATATATATATATACCACCTCTTGGATGGCTTAATCTTCATAAATCAATCACAAATCCAGAGCACGTCTCCTGTGCCAGGTAAGTACGACGGGCTCACCATAGCCCGTGCTGCTTGGAACTTTTTGTTCCAAAACAACAACAACAACACAAATCCAGAGAGACCCAGAGTCACTTTAAAATGTTACACGACCAAAGATCACATTCACTCCAAAAATCTACCACCTACGGGCTATTCATGCCCGTGCCACCTCCTGTGGTGGCTTAATCTTCAATACCAACAAATCCAGGGAGAAGGAGCAGAAAGAACATGATCACGACGTACAAGACACTGAGATGATTAAGCATAGTGGACAAAGAGAGCCTCTATAAATTGAGAGAAAATTGAAAACGAGATAGAGGTAGAAGCTGGAAACTGTAAATGCGCTAAAGAGGTCAAAAAGTGAAATGCACTGAAATGATTATATTAATTATTAATTTATTGTGTGAGGGGATAGGGGGCCAGTGTATGTATACTTGTTAGGCAAGTATACATACATCATGGTCCCCCCCCCTCCCCTCCAAGGTCAAACTATTGACCCTCACCAGGGTGCAACCCCACAAGCTAACCTCTGGGTATCTATTAACCTCTGGGTGAACAGGCCTAATGAGTGATTGGAAACGCGCCCAACCATTTCTGTCTCGTCCGGGATTCGGGATTTCGAATCGTTAAGACCCAGATAAGACAAGGAGCTCGTATATAAGAAAAAAGTTAACAATTAGTTAAGTGTAAGAAGAAAGCGGAGGAGGAGAAGGATAGAATAAAATAGTGCTGGGGAAGAAGAGCACACTCACTCTCCCTGTGAGAAAACCCAGAGAGGATTGACTGGGAACCAATCTGTAACTGTTCGCCCCGGTTCACCCATTCGGGACATGGGAGTAAACCGATTGGCAGGTCACATTCCAGGAAAAAGCTTGTATGGTAAGGCTGAAAAAAAACAGCGCATAAATGAAGAAGAGGTGAGGTAGGAGGAAAAGGGGCAAAGCAGTATAGAAGACGAGAAAGAGGAGTGTAAGAAAAGAGGAAAAGATAAAAATAAGAGATATAGCAGACAACTGTCAAGCTGCCGCTATCCCCCCCCCCCATCAAGAGACAAGATCACCCCCCCCCCCCTCCCAACCAAGACCGCAGCCGCCACTACCACCTGTATTATAAATCAGGGGTGAACATGCAAATCAGCTTAACCACACAAAAATACACGAATATTGTGCTCTCCCCCGATGATTACCCTACTTGTAAAGCTACAAATCTGACCCGCTAACAGGACAAACATATATAACTTACGCGCAGCACCCCACCCCCCCTCCTTTCTCCCCCCCCCCCCCCTTAGATGAGGAAACTAACACCCACCTGTTCGCATGGCCTGCTGTTGCCTCAGTGTTGTGCTGGTGGCCGCGGTACACGGAGACTGCCTCTACACCCACACGCCTGCCTGTCGTCTCTCTCTCACAAGGTAACTTTTCGTAAAGTAGAAACCCTAATTGTTAAGAGCCTCTTGAATTTCCAATATTTTGATCTAATGGCAGGTCACAGAAGCTGATCCTCTAGGTTACAGAGACCGATCCTGCAGGACACAGAACCTGATCCTGCAGGTTACAGAGGCCGGTCCTGCAGGTCACCGTATAACCTCTACAGGCGCCTGACAGCTGGGTGGACAGCGCTTCGGATTCGTAGTCCTGAAGTTTCGGGTTCGATCCCCGGTGGAGGCGGAGACAAATGGGCCAAATATTTCTTTCACCTTGATGCCCCTGTTACCTAGCAGTAAATAGGTACCTGGGAGTTAGATAGCTGCTACGGGCTGCTTCCCGGGGGGGGGGGGGTTGTAACAATTCAGTCTGTTTACTTTTTAAATATATACAAATTTAAATATTATTGAATCTTTAAAAAACAAAGAAATATAACATTATTAACTGATTAGTGATGTAATACTAATATTTTCCTGCCACGATCAACCATCACCCACAAGCCATCATCTACCTTTCCCCTCATCCTCTCTCCCTTTCTCCCATTCCATCATCCACTTGCAGGGGTGCCGAAGAGAAGGGCTCCGGCACCACTGTTTATAGTCGTATATTATTTTATTACTGTAAATATCAAGTATGAATCAACACTACCTTCACCAGTCTCATTATACGTACCGTTGGGCTCGCGGCGCACATACGACAGCCCGTCCTCATAAATAAAGCCAAATGTTCGTTAACCTGCCGCCAAACGGTCTACACGCCACTCACGAACATTACACTTCCAGTCATTACACTTCCAGTCATTACACTTCAAGTCATTACACTTCCAGTCATTACACTTCACGAACAAGTGCTTCGCTGACGACATCTGTTCGAACCACAATGTTATAAATCTGTAACATTGTAGAGATCGATCCTGCCCGACACAAAACCTGATCATCTACGTACTTCAAATACAAATAATCGCCAACAGAACCTAACCTACGCCTAACTATACATAGAATTTTAATGTATAATAATATTAATTTATATACGAGACCAAACCGATTTTTAATACACAGTATGTTAAAATTAATGACTGGGGAGGACGGCCGCTGCTTTAACCAGCCTAGTGTGGTGACGGGTTGCATAGGAAGCATAAAGAAAGATCACAGATGCTCAAATGCAATTTAGTATTTATTACATAGACTATGAACAGTTACATAGTATCTTATTATTCACTTCTCCAGTTACTGTTAAAGGGTTTCTTTACACCATTTGGTCACCATTTGGTCCGGGAGATATCTCCCGTCACGCAGGGTGCAGTCGCGCCTCCACAGACCTCCAGTATCAGCTCTTGATACAGGGTAATGGCTCAAAAGGGCCACCACTTACGGGCTATTCATGCCCGTGCCATCTTTTGGGTGGCTTAATCTTCATCAATCAATCAATCAGGTTTCTTTAACCCTGACTGACTTCCCAGCCAGATTACCCATGAACCCCATTCCTGGTCCACCTGGTCCACACTCTGGACTCTAATCGGTCCATACCTTGGACCATATACTGTCCACACTATGAACTTTAACCGGTCAATAAAACTTAATACTAACATCCTAAACTCTTAACTCGGAATACCTGAAGTTCATTTCCTGCGTTATATAGTCTGCTCGGCTCTACACAGTAGATAGAACTGGCCCACACACAGCTCAGGGTCCTCCAAATGTACCCCCTAACTCAAATGTCCTAGTCCTCGGGTCACGCCCCCGTCGTGACATTCTAGGGCATGGCAACTGTCGATTGCCTCAGGTCTTGAATCACGTGATCAGCCCATACCTTTGGACTTGATAGGAATCACGTGTTCAGGCCACCCATGCCGGACACACCGTGTGTGTGTGTGTGTGCAGTATGAAGTTGTGAGGCCCTTGAGGGACCTGTAACAGACGAGGGTAGAAATAGCCTAAGCTACCCTATCCTTTTGGGATGTATCTTATTATCTCAATAAACTTAATTAAACTTGAAGTTGGATACGGTCTTCTCCAACCCGGCGTGGAAGTATGACGTCTCACACACACTAACACACAGAGGCAAGAGTAACTGGTAGGGTGCTCCAGTGGGTAAGGGAGTACCTAAGCAATAGGAAGCAGAGTTACTGTGAGGGGTGAGACCTCAGATTGGCATGAAGTCACAAGAGTAGTCCCACAGGGTACTCCGTACAGGATACTCGGACCTATCCTGTTTCTGATGTGTGTAAATGATCTTCCAGAGGGTATAGACTCATTCCTCTCAATGTTTGCTGATGATGCCAAAATTATGAGAAGGATTAAGATAGAGGACGACAGCATGAGGCTTCAAGAAGACCTGGACAAACTGAAGGAATGGTCCAACAAATGATTGTTAGTTTAACCCGAGCAAATGTAATGTAATGAAGATAGGTGTAGGGAGCAGGAGGCCAGATACAAGTTACCATTTGGGAGATGAAATTCTTCTAGAATCAGAGAGAGAGAAAGACCTGAGGGGTTGATATCACGCGAGACCTGTCCCCCGAATCCCATATCAAGAGAATAACATCACCGTCATATGCCAGGTTGGCCAACATAAGAACGGCCTTTAGAAATTTGTGTAAGGAATCCTTCAGAACCTTGTATACCACGTATGTCAGACCAATCCTGGAGTATACAGCTCCAGCATGGAGTCCATATCTCGTCAAGCATAAAACTAAATTGGAGAAGGTTCAGAGGTTTGCCACCAGCCTAGTGCCCGAACTGAGGGTTATGAACTACGAGGAGGGATTACGGGAATTAAGCCTCACGTCGCTGGAAGACAGGAGTTAGGGAGGATATGATCACCACATACAAGATTCTCAGAGGAATTAATAGGGTAGACAAAGACAATTTATTTAACGGGCACACGCACTCGGGGACACAGGTGGAAATTGAGTGCCCAGATGAGCCATAAAGACATTAGAAAGAATTTTTTTAGTGTCAGTAGTAGTTAATAAGTGGAATGCATTAGGAAGTGATGTGGTGGAGGCACTCAATACACAGTTTCAAGTGTAGATATGATTTTTTTTTTTAATTTTGTATTTATATACATACAAGAGTTATTACATTCTTGTACCGCCACTAGCACGCATAGCGTTTCGGGCAGGTCCTTAATCCTAATTTTCACACACATCCCCAGGAAGCAGCCCGTGACAGCTGTCTAACTCTCAGGTACCTAGTTACTGCTAGGTGAACAGGTGCATCAGGGCGAAAGAAACTCTGCCCATTTGTTTCCGCCTCCACCGGGGATTGAACCCTTGGGACTATCCCTTAGGTTCTCAGCGTAGTAGCTGTATTCTGCTGGCGAGTTCAGCAAGTAGCACAGATTTCTGAACCACAGTGGGTTCACAACAGCGGCCCGGGTTCGATTCCTGCGGCAGGACGGAGACGTTTGGGCACGTTTCCTTACACCTGATGCCTCTGATCACCAATAATAAACAGGTATGCACAGTACCTGGGAGAAGGGACCTTTATAAGCTTAGCAAGTTTCCAGTCTCTCGACAGAGAAAACCTAATCATGGCCTTGTACTGAAACAGTAAATGGAAATACGCATTGTAATACAATGTTTTGTTATACCCAAGGCCACGTACCGGAGCAAGGTCAAAATATTATTATTATTAATTACGATCTATTTACCGGCTTCCTGTCCTCGTGGAGGCCACTGGTAACATGGGTGTCCCACAGGTAAAATCAAATAATTGCACCTGCGCAGCCGTAACATACGTTAGAGATCCCCGTATACTTGAATTATAATGACATAAGACAGCGCGAGGGAGTTAACATTATAGTTTAGTCTCTGCGGAAGAAAATGTGAGAAGAGAGAGGAGTCTCAAGCTCCAGTATTGACTTACCTGATGGCTCCCTCTTCTGGGGTTTCACCTGACTCTACTTTGCCTCCAAAGCCATTCCATCTTCCTTGGCCGAATCCTCGCTTCTTGTATCCTAGTAGGATGTTGTCTCCTTCCCTAATAAAAGCTAAGGTGAAGAGTTTGCGCGTGAGGCCAGACATCTTAGACTTGGCGCCTCGGGACCTCCTGGAACTGTTGTTGTACTGCATCTGCTAAAGAATGTAATAAACTCAGCAAGGAAATATATATTTTTTTTATTTAGATATAAGGAGGTTTTAATTTCATTATCTAATAATAACAATCTGATAAGAACAAATTAGACACTATTGTTTGATATATATATAAATACCATTTGTTTTATGAATGTCGTCTGCTAGGTTGCTCTGTGCGTGATAACACTCAGCTGCATACGATACTGTCGACACTATTTACTAAAAGATAATCATCTAAGCAACATTTATTTATAAGGGAAAGTGTAGATAATCATCTAAGTATTTATTTATAAGGAAATGTGTAGTTTACCAGCTTAAAGTGTTCAAATTGTAAAAACTTTACTCAGAAATTATTACAAATAATTGAATATATATATATATATATATATATATATATATATATATATATATATATATATATATATATATATATATATATATATATATATATATATATATATATATATGGGGGGATACCACCTCTGGTGCAATTATAGGGACCCACAGCCTCAAAGAAGGGAACACAGAGCATTCAGAGAAAAACTTGCCATTTAACTCTGAATACTGTACGTATAAGTGTTCGCTTCTCCTACCACCCCTCCTTTTTTATGGTGTACACTTTATTATGCAAGGTTATACAGTTATATATCTGAACCCCAAATTTATTTGGCTAAGCAAGCTATAGTTTTGATAAGTTGGTTACATAATTTCTGTTAATATATGCAGTGTGTATTAACAATGGGTTCAGGACCACAACAGTCTAAAATGGGTCCCCATTTTCTAATACTACAAATATCCCAAAATGGGTCGTGAGTTGGGAACGATATCCCAATATCGTGAGTTGGATATCTTGCTCTTTTTTTTACGGAGGGAAGATAAAGAGAATGGGTTCTTTCATCAGCGGGTGGGCCAATCTTTCCATACAGCCTAGTTAGAGCCCAGCAGTGCCTCTTATTACCATTATTACCACCCTAAGAGTCTGTTCGAGGAAATCTGCAAGATATTCGATCTCTGAATGCCTTATTCTTCAATACTATGAGTCCCAACAATTGCACCAGAGGTGATACCTCTACTCAGCTGATCTTAGATATATATATATCGTATAGTATAAGAGGACGAGAGGACAGACGGAAACTATCCAATACACCGATATTACGACAAATTAAGTTTACTTAACGCTTAAGAAACAAGTACATCAGTTGTCTAAAGATCGAGAGGCGGAACCAAAGAGATAAAGCCTAGCTAAGAGAGTACATATGGGTGTGACTAGAGAGACACAGTGTACACGCATGAAGGGTAGTGTGTGTAAGCGACGTACATACACCAGGTAGCTCGCAGGGAATGTGGGGAAATATAACTCATTATTTCCGCTTCGTGGTCTGTTGCTGCCCAGAGGTCGGTCAACTAGCTCAGCGGCGGTAATGTCCACTGTCACTTTTGAGGTGATAGGGAGTGGTTGAATCCCCCTCACCCTGGCGATGGGATGGCCACTCTAACTCACCCTGGTGATGGGGAGGCCACTCTAGCTCACCCTGGTGATGGGGAGGCCACTCTAGCTCACCCTGGTGATGGGGAGGCCACTCTAGCTCACCCTGGTGATGGGGTGGCCACTCTAGCTCACCCTGGTGATGGGGAGGCCACTCTAGCTCACCCTGGTGATGGGGTGGCCACTCTAGCTCACCCTGGTGATGGGGTGGCCACTCTAGCTCACCCTGGTGATGGGGTGGCCACTCTAGCTCACCCTGGTGATGGGGTGGCCACTCTAGCTCACCCTGGTGATGGGGTGGCCACTCTAGCTCACCCTGGTGATGGGGTGGCCACTCTAGCTCACCCTGGTGATGGGGTGGCCACTCTAGCTCACCCTGGTGATGGGGTGGCCACTCTAGCTCACCCTGGTGATGGGGTGGCCACTCTAGCTCACCCTGGTGATGGGGTGGCCACTCTAGCTCACCCTGGTGATGGGGTGGCCACTCTAGCTCACCCTGGTGATGGGGTGGCCACTCTAGCTCACCCTGGTGATGGGGTGGCCACTCTAGCTCACCCTGGTGATGGGGTGGCCACTCTAGCTCACCCTGGTGATGGGGTGGCCACTCTAGCTCACCCTGGTGATGGGGTGGCCACTCTAGCTCACCCTGGTGATGGGGTGGCCACTCTAGCTCACCCTGGTGATGGGGTGGCCACTCTAGCTCACCCTGGTGATGGGGTGGCCACTCTAGCTCACCCTGGTGATGGGGTGGCCACTCTAGCTCACCCTGGTGATGGGGTGGCCACTCTAGCTCACCCTGGTGATGGGGTGGCCACTCTAGCTCACCCTGGTGATGGGGTGGCCACTCTAGCTCACCCTGGTGATGGGGTGGCCACTCTAGGTCACCCTGGTGATGGGGTGGCCACTCTAGCTCACCCTGGTGATGGGGTGGCCACTCTAGCTCACCCTGGTGATGGGGTGGCCACTCTAGCTCACCCTGGTGATGCGGTGGCCACTCTAGCTCACCCTGGTGATGGGGTGGCCACTCTAGCTCACCCTGGTGATGGGGTGGCCACTCTAGCTCACCCTGGTGATGGGGTGGCCACTCTAGCTCACCCTGGTGATGGGGTGGCCACTCTAGCTCACCCTGGTGATGGGGTGGCCACTCTAGCTCACCCTGGTGATGGGGTGGCCACTCTAGCTCACCCTGGTGATGGGGAGGCCACTCTAGCTCACCCTGGTGATGGGGAGGCCACTCTAGCTCACCCTGGTGATGGGGAGGCCACTCTAGTTCACCCTGGTGATGGGGAGGCCACTCTAGTTCACCCTGGTGATGGGGAGACCACTCTAGCTCACCCTGGTGATGGGGAGGCCACTCTAGTTCACCCTGGTGATGGGGTGGCCACTCTAGCTCACCCTGGTGATGGGGTGGCCACTCTAGCTCACCCTGGTGATGGGGTGGCCACTCTAACTCATCCTGGTGATGGGTGGCCACTCTAACTCACCCTGGTGATGGGGTGGCCACTCTAGTTCACCCTGGTGATGGGGTGGCCACTCTAACTCATCCTGGTGATGGGGTGGCCACTCTAGCTCACCCTGGTGATGGGGAGGCCACTCTAGCTCACCCTGGTGATGGGGTGGCCACTCTAGCTCACCCTGGTGATGGGGTGGCCACTCTAGCTCACCCTGGTGATGGGGTGGCCACTCTAGCTCACCCTGGTGATGGGGTGGCCACTCTAGCTCACCCTGGTGATGGGGTGGCCACTCTAGCTCACCCTGGTGATGGGGTGGCCACTCTAGCTCACCCTGGTGATGGGGTGGCCACTCTAGCTCACCCTGGTGATGGGATGGCAACTCTAGCTCACCCTGGTGATGGGGTGGCCACTCTAGCTCACCCTGGTGATGGGGTGGCCACTCTAGCTCACCCTGGTGATGGGATGGCAACTCTAGCTCACCCTGGTGATGGGGTGGCCACTCTAGCTCACCCTGGTGATGGGGAGGCCACTCTAGCTCACCCTGGTGATGGGGAGGCCACTCTAGCTCACCCTGGTGATGGGGTGGCCACTAACTCATCTTGGTGCAAATAAACCAGACGACGCAGGCATCAACAATACCATCGTAGCAGTGGGAGTGTCTATGATAATGATAATGTTTATTCTGGTAAAAATTCATACATACAAAATTAGTTACAAACAGAATTGGATTTGGAGATAGAGCTAGTATATACTATGCCTAAAGCCACTAATACACACAGCATTTCGGGCAAGAAGTGGGGAAACTGAAAAACTAAGACTTAAAACTAATCGAGATAAGAGCATGATTTGACCTGAAATAGGGAAAAAAGATTTATAATAATTACATGTTGGATAGAACAGTAGAAATTGCAACAGAAGCAATTTTAACTAAATAAATGCAGGCTACAATTTTCTTTAAGTTTATACATGGCAGATATCTGCAGTTATATAAGTTGGTTAATAATCAATATTATTTGAAAATAGCAAGACATAGGTTGACATTTAGGGGATAAGGTAGGTTACATGGAACTGATTAGGTAGTACTTAATTTTTCTCTTAAACTGGTTGAGAGGGGCAGTCTTTGACATGATTGGGAAAGTCATTCCTCATTTTTGGGCCTTTGATTTGCAGAGCATTTCTAGTTTGGTTAAATCGCACTCTTGGAATATGAAATAGATATTTGTTTCTAGTATGGTGCCCATTGGTTCTGTTATCCTTTCACCCTAGTGGTGGCAGTAGGGCGGGGGAGTCCACTTTCACCCTGATGATGGCAGTGTGGTAGGAGTATTCAGTTTCACCCTGGCGGTAGCAATAGAGGAGTAGTGTCCATTGTCACCCTGGTGATGGCAATAGAGGAGAAGTGTCCATTGGCACACCCTGGTGGTGGGGGTTGGAAGTGATCTGGCACCGTGTTTCCCGCCAACTTTGCTACCGTCACACATCCTCATTCGGCCCGTTCTCTTGATTAGCCACAACGTCCTGAATACAACGTGCTAACCTAATCAGAAACACGCGAACTCCTGCCCGTCCTCTTGGAACCCAAGTCTCTCACTTAATCTAACCTTCTGATGCATAGAAAACGTGAATATTTATATTGGCAACTCGAGAGAACCAGCAGATTTGTGAGCCGCTAGCGTACATAGTACTTTGTAATGTGTACGTTGGGGTCCATAACGTACAAAATGTGGCTACTAATTCAGAGGACGGTTTGCACGCTTTCTGGAGCCTCACATCTCATACGAGCTTCACGCCTCACGCGATATTCTTAGATATTCACATCTCACGCGAACCCTCACCTTTTTACCCCTTTTTTTCGCATAACTCCTTTTTTGAAGCCTCACCTTGTAACAGTTGTTGAGGTTGCTCGAGTGGAGACTTGTAGGGGACCTAAGTCACCTAACCCACGACACTGTCTCAGCGAGGTCACATAAACCCCACCTCGTGTAGCTTCAAAAGTTGGCGGCCCTTTACCAAGAAGTTACCAGCTTCAGGTTTGTTAATCCTACGGAAACAGGAG